ATGGTGTGCGGGCCAGGGCCCGGCGGCGCTGCTGGGGTTGCGGTGATGGCCCAGATTCGGGCCGCGGGGCGCCTCTGCTGCCGGGAGGTGACGGCCCAGGGACACAGCCCTGACGGCCTGTCTGACTCTCTCACCAGGTGGTGGGACAGGCTTCGTGGGCAGAGCCCTGACCCAGCTACTGCGGAGCCGAGGGCACCAAGTGACCCATGTGTCGCGACGAGGGGGCAAGGATCGGATCAGCTGGGTATGAGAGAAGTCACAGGAGGGGAAACGTGGCAGGGCTGAGAAAACAGCCCGTGTGCCCTGGCTTTCCATGGCATAGAGAAAGCCTGCCGAGGGAGGTCTGGCTCCTGTGGATGTTCTTTTGGGCTGCTGGGTGCTCCATGGGTCACAGTCATTGAAATGGGTACTGCTGTAGCTCCAAGGAGCAGAACTCTGTTCGTGCTTGTAGTCTGCAGACGTCAGGAAGAAACTGGCTGAAATTCTTAGGAGTTTGCCCAGCTTATTTGCAGTGAAGGCTTGAGCAGAGGGGAGCCCTGATGTGTTGATGTCTCTGTTACTCCTGCCTAGGAAGAGCTGTCCCGCTCTGGGCTGCCCCCGTGTGATGCTGTGGTCAACTTGGCTGGTGAAAATGTCCTCAACCCTTTCCGCAGGTAACTTGATGTTCTGTAGTGCTGTTGGGACAAGGTGGAGGCAAGATAGTCCTGTGTTGTCAGAGAATGTGGAAAGGGAGGAAACAACATTACCAGGAAGCTCTTGAGTTATCCAACTATTGACATTTGCATCTTCAAGTATCCAGAACACTTTTGTGGGCCTGGTAGGTTCTGAGAGACCTTTGGAAGAAAGGTTCCCTCCTGGATCTACAGCTGGAGGCTAGAAAAGTTAGTTCCTCATTTCCAAAAGGATGTTGGGTGCCATGCCTACATTTGATAATGCAAAATCAGAACCAAAGTTTGACTTCTAGGAGGAACAGATCCTTTGTCTAGATCCTTTGTTGACTTTGTCTGAAGGCAGTCCAAACCCCACAATCTTTTAGGGGAAGTGAAGAGTCATCATCTTCCAGTGTTTCCCTGCATTTATGCTGTAAGATGACTTGTTCTCCATTTGCCCTGTGGTGAGGGGAGTTCCTGTGACCTCTCCTGTGCTTGTGAGCTGGTGTTGGCTGGGTGTCACTAAAGGACATGAAATGATTCACACAACCACCCTCAGTGTTAGAACAAAAAAAAAGGTGTCTTATTCTCTGACTCCAGTATTTATAGATTCTTGACAATGACCAGGGATTGGATAATTAAGTTACCATCTTCCAAAGCACACTGGTCATGCGGAATGTCCATCAAAAGACATTTCTTAGAAGGAATGTGATAAACAACTTATGTTTACAGAAGTTTCATGGGAAAGTAACTAAAACTATGAAAACTTTAGCAGAAGGCTTAATTTTCAGGGCAACAGCTGGGGTCCCCCTTGGTGGCAGTGTTTCCTGGGGTGTCCTTGTGAGGTGTTTAATCCCTGGTTCTCCCTTTCCCAGATGGGGTGATGCCTTCTGCAGGGAGGTCACCAGCAGCCGGGTGGAGACCACGAAGACCTTGGCCAAAGCCATTGCTGCTGCTGAACAACCCCCCCGTGCCTGGGTCCTCGTCACTGGCGTAGGTATTGGTTGGGCCTGACCAAAACACCACTCATGCTGACCTGGAGAGGCTTTACCTGCAGACAGAAACACAGTTCCTCGGGAGCACGTGTCTTGCCTTGAAATGTCAGCTTTACTGCAATCAATGTCGCTGTGTTTAGACAAGCCTTGATAAGCTGTAGTACTGCTGGAGAGGAATTTGAGTCTCTGTGCTTTGTCTTTAGGTGTCATTAGGGAAGAAGCTTTTCTGTGTGAGCTTTGTTGTGAAAGCCTTCAGGCATCCCATAGAATTAATTTGTGTAAGTAAGGCCTCAGCTGAAGCCCTCTGCATTATCTCCAACTCCTTGCTGCAGTCTTTAAAGCTGCCACGGTTTATTCTCTGTGATGCCCAGTATTAAAGCAGACACTTTCCAGCCAGCTCAGTGTGTTGCTTGCAAGCCTGTTTGGGGCTGCCTCAGTGTTAGTGCATCCTGCTAAACCTGTAGAGCACATTGGTAGTTCAAAAACTTGTCAGCATTGCCATCAGAGTCCCTGTGCTGTTCATGTGAGGATGTCCCTGGTGGAGTGATCGAGTTCACAGAATCCCAGAATGGTTTGGGTTGGAAGGAGCCTTAAAGCCCGTCCAGTGCCACCCCTGCTATGGCAGGAACACCTTCCACTGTCCCAGGTTGCTCCAAGCCCCTTCCAACCTGGCCTTGGACACTTCCAGGGACCCAGGGGCAGCCACAGCTTCTCTGGGCACCCTGTGCCAGGGCCTCCCACCCTCACAGGGTAGAGTTTCTTCCCAGGGGCCAATCTAAACTGATTTTCAATTTGAAGCAATTCCCCCTTGTCCTGGCACTCCAGGCACTTGTAATCTCTCTCCAGCTTTCTTGTAGGCTCCCTTCAGACACTGGATGGTTGCAATTAGGTCTGTTTTCCAGGCTGAACAAGTTTCCCAGTTCTCTCATCCTTTCCTCACAGGAGTTCTGGGTTCCTGGAGGCAGAGAAGATGGTCTGATGGGGAAGGGGGGGCTTGGTGTCATCATTCAACTCTGACCCCCTTTCTGCTGTTACCCTGCAGGTTATTACCGCCCCAGCCCCACAGCTGAGTACACTGAAGACAGTCCAGGAGGGGATTTTGACTTCTTCTCACGCCTGGTGAGCTCGTGGGAGGCTGCAGCTCTCATCCCTGGGAGCCCAACTCGTGGTGTTGTGGTGAGATCAGGTGAGATGGGACATCATGCTTATTAATGGTGACTCTGCTTTACTGCTGGGGCAACAGTGGGAAGAGATGGGTAAGGGGCATCAGTTCTTCTGTCTCTCCTTGTTGGGGTCCTGTTCTAGTCCAGCCCTCTAAGGATTCTCCTGCTTGTAGGTCTGGGTGTGTAGGGGGCTTTTTCCCTTTGGGCAGGGGTACCTGATCTCACTCTGTTCTCCCCACAGGTGTAGTGCTGGGTCGAGATGGTGGTGCAATCTCTCAGATGCTCTTGCCTTTCCGTCTGGGACTTGGAGGCCCTATGGGCTCTGGACTCCAGCCCTTCCCATGGATCCACATTCAGGACCTGTCTGGGATTTTGTGTCATGCCCTGGAGACAGAGTCTGTGCAAGGCATCCTCAATGGTGTTGCCCCATCCTCCCCTGGCACCTCCAATGGCTCCTTTGCTCAGGAGCTGGCGGCAGCCCTGGGGCGCCCGGCCCTGTTGCCGGTGCCTGCCTGGGCTGTGCGGGCTGTCTTTGGGGCAGAGCGGGCGGTCATGCTGCTGGAGGGACAGAGAGTGCTCCCCAAACGCACTCTGGAGAGCGGCTACCACTTCATCTTCCCCGAGCTGCCTGCAGCTCTGAAGGACATTGTGGCTTAAGGCCTCCCCAGTTGGGCTGGGCCCTGTTTGTGTGAGCTCCCATGCCTTCCCATGAAAGAGGGGAGCCCTGCCCCTTGATGCTTCCCCATCTCCCTACAGAAAGGGTGAGAAAAGGATCCCCTTTTCCCCTGTATCTCCTTGTGTGCATCCCCAGTTTAGGAGTCATCCCTCTTACTGCCACCTGAATCTCAACATCACCTGCATTTGGGGAAAGGAAGGCACGAGCCCCTCAAAGGATTGTGACAGGGATTTTCCATTTTCCCTTTTGCATGGTGTTTGTGTGTGCGCTGCTGGCAGTGGCAGCAGGAAACAGGTCCTAATGCTGTTGTGATTCTTCCATGGTACTGGAAGTCACCCTTCCTGTTTTTCCTCATGATGACACAGGCAAAGCAGAAGAGCATAAGTCTCTTTCTAGGTCTTGGTGGTTGTGGGAGAAGATCCATCTTAGGGTGCTGAATACAGATTGCTTGGAGACTCTGCCCTCTCTTGTGTCTGGTACCAGGCTGATGTGTCAGTACCTTCAGCTGAATCTAGTCCAAAGAGTTACACCCTTCCAGGGTTCCATGCCCCTTGTGCTGTGGCAGGGATGAGGGAGAACACTGCTTTGCCAGCCTGTAGGGAAAAGGGTGACAGTCAGACTGTGCCCCCTTTTGCCTTGGCTACATGCCCATTACATCTAAGCTTGTGCTGAGGAGAGCTGGGTGGTTCATCATTGTGTGAGGCAGTGCAAGTCACAGCTTTAGTCTAAAGGAAGATTTCAGCTATTGCCTTCATTGTGCTTACCTCAAATCAGGGTGGTTTTCTTTTATTGATCCCATGAGGTGGTGCTTGTGTTCAGGGTGTTCCCCCTGACTACACACAGAATATCCAAGCTGCCTGGTCTGCCCTGGGGGGCAGTACCTCTACCCTTGTAAAGCAGATTGCGATTTCATCATCTCACAGTGGCAGGAAATGTATCCACATGCTTCCCTTCCACAGCCTAAAGTGGGTTGCAGGTTGTGAAGTCCACAGAGCAGCAAAGTTTATTATAGCAGTACTTCTGGAGAGACATTCCTACTGTGATGTAAGTTAGGGCTAGAAAAGTCTATTAAAAGGCACTTCAGGCAGATAAAGACCTACTGTTTACCATCCAGAGCAGCAGCAGTCCATGTATTTTTGGTTTATGCCATGCTATAGTCAGAGCAGCTGAAGGATCAGTCTTGGTGAAGTTTAGATGTCCCACTCTCCTGACTCTTTGCCCGTACATACTGGAGACAGAATGGCAATGTGCTGGCTTTCCAGGCAGGAAAAATAGAGTGGGACTGCAGATGGAACTGGACAAAGTCCTTGCAGTTAGTGTAAGCACAGCCAGGTGAGGTGGGGCTTTGGGAGTAGTCATGAAAGCAACATGGTTTGAGACACATGTGGGTTTCTTGGACTGTGTCTTTGCTGCCTGTAAGTTAGGTACAGCTTCCTTCCTCTTCCCAAGAGCTTCAGTTTTCTGTGAGAGTAGACTGACATACTCTGAGATACAGACCCAGTTCCTTGTGGGCCAATACCATGGGGACAGTCAGCAGTGCTGCTTTAGTTACTTCAGCTGAGTATTTAGAGCTTCAGAGCTTCCCCAGATGTTGTGGTCTGCAGCATCCTTCTGTCAGGCAGGCAGGCTAGCCAGCCCAGTTAGGTTGTTGCTGTACCTGTATAAACCTTGATGGGTTTACACAATGAGTTGTGATTGTAAATGAGAACAAGTATTTTTGGAGAACTGCCATCTTCAGCTCTTCTGAAAGAGGTGTTTGTATCCCACAGAGGACTGACACTAAGCAGAGCTCCCAGGCCTTGGACTCATTGTCTGGATGTATAACTCAGGACATTTGAAAAGTTGCCTCTGTATGATGTTTGGCTTAAATATATGACAGGTTTAAATGAGCCTGTGTCATCTGAATCTGTGTATGGGATCTGGAAGCACTGTCTTCTGAGTGCAGTTAAGACTAAATTCACACATGCCTCATGCCCCTTTCTTTGCAGTAGAGCCAGAAAAGGTGCATGTTTGGGTGACAGCAGGCTGAAATCTCAATAGAATATATCTAGTTTTGGTGTCCTGGCCCCCAGGCTGCAAGGCTGTGTGATCCTGGGTACAGGTGTTGTTATCCCAGGGCTGGCATTGCAGTGCTCAGGGCTAGCAGAGTGTTTGCAGGCATACCTGAGCCAATGCTGTGCCCCTCTGCATCGGGGCAGGTGTCTCTGTTCCTTTAGAGGTGAATGCTTTTGTTAAGCCATGTGAAAAGCAGCAGCTGTGGCCCAGGACCCTCCTGTGTGGCCACTGACATCCCAGCCTGGGGGTCTTGTAGCCAGTGTTTCTGTCCAAGCTGAGGACACAGCTGTTCCTTCCTGTTTGCAGGGTAAGGCAGCCCTGATGCTGAGCTGTGTCACACTCAGACACGTGGACAGTGACACACAGATGATACTGGCATGGCTGTTAGCACCCACACACGGGACACAGGTGACACACAGGCACGTGCCTGATGGAGCTGGCAGACTCACGTGACACCCTCAGGGTTCACAAGGACGTGCACACTTGGGAATCCTTTGAGCACTTAAGTATGACCCCTCTGTCCACCCAGCACTCTAGCATGGACCACAGCATCCTGACCCATCCCACAGGTCCCCTCCTTGCCAGCTGCTCCAGCTTGACACCAAAGTCAGCACTCAAGTGCTTATCCCAAAGGCACACCACACTTGCAGGTATCTCCAGGTACCAACACGGATCCCTTGCCCTCCTGATAACCCTGCCCATACCTGGAGTCCCCCTACTTGGAATTGCTGCTGCTGGATAAACGTGTACACCTGGTTTGTGGGATATACAGTTGCTTCCTCCAGAATCAGCACATCTGCTGTCCTTCAGCTGGCATGGAGCCCCTGACTCTCCTTGCTCACGCTTGCTCCCCCAGCGGCTGCTCTTGTGGGCACAAAGTATTCCTGCCTCAGTGGTTGTAGGGCGAGTTCCCACTGGCTCCAAGAGCTGCTACCACAGGCTGGGTCTCTGCTCACCCTCTCTCCCTGTCTGATTTGAGGAGTTGGCCCCAGTATGCCAGCTGCCTACCACCTGGCACTTGGTCCTTGCAGACCACAGAGGGACCCTGGGAGGTTGCACAGAGTGTTACAGAAAGGTTAAATAAGCCAGGACTGTGGTGGTCAAGTGTAGAGCTTAGCCAGACCAGCACTGACTGCTCTCACAGGTTTGCACCCAACCAGGCTCTTGTAACCCTTTTCTGTCTAACCTCTCCTGGCTGCTCCCTGTCCCAGCATAGTTCCTCAGCAGCTGCCATCCCACTGTCTTCATCCAACATCCTGGACACTGAGTTTTGCATCCTTATCAGTTGCAAAGTCCTAGGCTGCCTACAGCTTCTTGAGAGCTCATCAGCTGGTGTGAGTGATGCCATTTGTTTCTGGTTACTTGCCTAGTTAATGCTAATTGGTCAGGATTTATGATGTGTCTCCCATACTTCCCTACTGTAAAAATAAATGTTCTCAGCCTCACACAGCCTTACCCATTTTTGTGACTGATCAGATTTGTTCTCATCACAGCCTCCCCCATCATGCCTGGTTCATCTCTATGTCTTATGGCTCCTTTGATCAGATATCCCCAAATGAGCTGACATGCTCCTTTTACATCCCTGGACACTGCCCTGCTGTGGGATTCTGACAGGGGCTGCACTCTTCACTCCCCTGGGGCCTGAATGGGCCCCCTCATGGGCTCTACTCCCAGGGGCAATGACCCCTCTGGGCACTGAAGGGGCTGTGTGTGCCAGCAAGGGCTGCAGTCACTGTCCCACATCAGAGGCAATGGGCAGGAACACACTGAGGCACTTAGGATCAGTAGTACCTCTGTGTCAGTTTGTACAGGCAGCTCTAGGGTCTGGCTGGGATAGCCACATCTCTCCAGGCACCAGGGCATGTGATAGCTGTGTCCAGGCTGATCCTGGAGTTTTGGGCTCATTCTGGCAGAGATGAGTGATCTGCAGTGGTGCCTTGCTTTGGGGTTAGCTCTGGGCTGACTGCTAAGTTGCAACATAGTATTAAAGACAGAAAGGCTTAATTTTGGGTTTTCTGTACCAGTCATAGTTCTGCACCATTTGTATTGTTAGTCTTCTTTACACATTCTTTCACAAATTGTAAGCCACTGATTTCCTAATTAAAGTTGGTATTTCCCTTCCTTGTACCCCTTAATTTCCACTGAACTATTTTCAGACTTGACTGGGACAATTTTCCAAGATTTTAGGGCATGTTGTGACTACCCTGTCCTTTCTCACAGCTTACAAATTTGTAAATCTGAAGCTGAAATCCTAGGCAAGTATCTCAGTTCTCGGCTTTGCTGCTGGTTGAACTTGGAAAGGAGAAAGTGGCAGCCACATCCCCCAGCCTGGGCAGAGCCCCTGCATCATCAGGGGTTCAGTCTGGACTCACAAAAGCTTTCCAGGAGGGTGCTGGGCTGGGGCTGCTGGAGGTGACAGTGGCTCTCATCCCTGACAGTGAGCTGTGCTGGTTGATCCCTGCTGCTGGGGTTGATGCACAGAGCCTGTGAGGGCTGTGAGGCACCGTGCAGTGCTCTGCAACCCTTTGTTGAGAAATGGACTGGTCTCATTCCTGCAGTCTCTGCTGTTAACACCGATGCTTTTGAGCCTTTTTATGCCTGGTGAGGACTCCCACATTTCCTGCTCAGAACCCAAAAAGATGCTGCAATTCATACCAGCTGTTCTTGGGGGTACTCACCTGCCTGAGCTGGAGGAGGGGGATGGAGAGCAGACTGAAACCCCATGATCCAAGGGAAATTGGGCAGTGACCTCTACACAACTGAGGCACACAAAAGCCTGGGGCTGGATGGGATCCACACAGTGGTGCCAAGTGAGTGGTAACACTCAGTAAGCCACTTTCAGTCATTTATCAGCAGTCCTGGCTAACTGGGGAGGTCCCAGCTGACTGGAGGTTAGCAAATATGACTCCCTCTTGCAAGGAGGGCCAGAAGAAGGGTTGGGGGAACTCTAGGCCTGACAGTATGACCTTGGTGCCAGGAAGGGAACAGATCATCCTGAGTGCCATCATCTGGTAGGTACAGGAAAACCTGATCAGGCTGGCCAGCATGGGTTTAGGAAAGGCAGGTCCTGCTTGGCCAGTCTGGTCTCCTGTGACAAGATGGGTGGGTGGGTGAGGGACAGACTGTGGGATATCATCTACCTGGATTAGTAAAGCCTTTGACTCAGTTTACCACGGTGCTTTCCTGGAGACAATGGCCTGCATGGGCACACTCTCCACTGGGTAAAAACCAGTCTGGGCAGCTGAGTGCTAAGTGTGGTGGAAAAGGGAGTTAAAATCCAGCTGGTGGCTCATCACAATTGGTGTTCTCCAGGGCTCAGTACTGGGGTCCTTTTTAGTGCCTTTCATCAGTGATCTGGATTGGGAGGTTGAGTGCACTCTTAGTAAGTTGGATCCCAGCTTGGATGGGAGTTTTGGGAGGGTGGGAAGGCTCTGCAGAGGGGTCTACACAGGCTGGATCCATGGGGCAAGGCCAGTGGTAGAAGGCTCAACGAGGCCAAATGCTGGGTCCTGCACCTGGGTCACAAAAAGCCCATACAGTGCTCCAGGCTTCGGGAAGAGGTCCTGCAAAGCTGGAAGGACTGGGGCATGCTGGTTTACAGGGGCTCAGGATGAGCTCATGTGTGCCCAGGTGGCCAAGCAGGGGCCATGGCACCTGGCACCATGGATACATGGGCCCTGTGACTCCAGCTGCAGCACACACACACAGGACACACAACAGAGAGCCCTGACCCAGACAGGGAATCCTGACTGCACTGAGCAGCAGCAAGGCACGGCCAGACAAGTGTGGTTCCTCCCCAAAACATCCCTAGGAACCATCTGAGATGCTTTTCTCCTTTCATTCCATGATGGGTCCTTTATCTCCTGGGCATTAACTCTGCCTCAGCCTCAGGCTGACCCAGGAGCTGTTCCCAGACTCACTGGAGCAGGTATCACACCCAGCCCTGCGGCTGCTGCATCTCCTGGGAGAGCTCTTGGAGAGGTTTCTCAGTGTCCACTTCTCTGGTTAGCTTACTGTGCTTTCTCTGCCTGCTGGTGGGCATGCATGCCCCTTTGTGTATGTGTAGACCAACTTTTTATTGTATAACCAGAAAAATTCACTTTGTAAAGGAGCAGAGAAGTGTTTTGGAATAATTACTGCCCTGAGGGCTTTACTGATACAACAATCCTGTAGCAACGACTGAACTTTTATTTCAAAGTACAGTTGAACACAAGCTCCAGGGCAGAAAGTTGGGAGAGTATAATATGCATTTTTTCATCTTGTAAAGGGGAGGAAGTAACTACACTGCCATGAACATTCCCATTTTAGTTCTGCTCCAATTATCATAAGGTTCCTGCATCTGCACGTGGTCCTGATCCACATGACGTGAAGCACTACAAGAACTCTTTAATTAGCCCCACAGTGACAAATTTAGTTTTGCTAATTATATTATTGTTATTCACTTCTGAATGACCAGAAGTGCAAGGTGATTTGAGATTTTGCTTTCTTCTTGAATCCCATAGTTTCCCTTAACAAAGACATCAGGAATCCTATGAGGGAAGGTTGTTGGAGTCCTTTGTTGGAGGTAGGTTTGCATCCCTTGCTCCTCTGAGTAGAGCTGTGCTGTTTTATCTTGTAACTTGGGAATGGCACCTCATAGCTTGTGTGAAGATGGATCACAGAAACAGGAATTTGCTGAAGGTGTTTGCTCTTTCTGCCAAAAATACTGGAAGGATGAGTAATTCCACATGTTGCCAGTGACAGTGATTATACTGTGAAGGAGAAAATGACCTGGAAATGCTTGGTTATCACTTTTAATACAGAATTTTAACAGTCAGCTTCAGAGACACTCCCCATGTGTTGGGAGAGGTCTGAGGGAAGGCAGGCACGAGTCATGTCTCAGCATTTCTGTATTTCAAGTTTTTGCTGGAACTCAATCTTAGTTTTATGATAGAGAGATTACTGAGGCAAAAGAGAAAGGTTGGATTAGAGTTGAAAGCAAATTGCTTTTTCTCTCCCCCAAGCTTCTGTGAAAATACTATTTTTTATAGGAAATGAGAACAAAGAATACACAGTATTAACTGTGGATTGTCAGAAAGCATGATTTGATATCAAAAGTGGCTTTCCTTTTTGGATCTGTAGAAAAAATCTGCAATTTTCAAGCAGAAAATAGGATATGTATATAAGGGTTTAAAATGGAATTATCCACAGACATTAAGGAGCAAACTGTGATAGGAAAAAGTTACATTATCCCTGCAGAGTATTCACCAGAAGCAATAGAAATGTGCAGAAAGTTCTCGTTTCTACAGTTCTCTGAAATTCCATCTTGGGAATAATTTACCAATTTTTAGGGGAAAATAAAAAAGTTGTGGTTTATTTTGCATGTGGCTTTTTCTTGTAAGAAATTAGATTTTTGTTTCAGCAGCCAAATAGAGGTAGTAATTTCCCATCAGTGAAATGGCTCAGTCATCTTGGGCTGTGGGTGCAGGTGAGCAGTTGCCATCCTCTCTTAGAACTTCCCCACAGTGTCTCAAATTCACTGGAATATACAGCATTATTTTTCTAAAACTTGAGGCACTGTCTCTGTGATTTTTAACCCATGCCATTTATCTGACTGAAAAGTTTCAAAAAAGGACTGTGGTGCAGAGATCTTTGTAATAATATAATGTAAGGGAAGACTAGAACTTGGAAAGAAATTTGGTGGAGACTGAGCTGTCCATGGAGCCTAAAGAGGACACAGTGATGTTCCTTTAGGGTGAGCACATTCCCTCTCCAGACTTCTTGACTCTGATGGGAGCTGAGACAGCCACCTCCCTTGTCCTTATTTTTTAGTGCACAGATCACCTGGCTTAATGGGGACTTACATGTCCAGCCAGCCACAATGCTGGGAGGGGAGGATTAGGGAAAGCAGCTCCTGTGTGGGTGACTCTTTTGTCTCTTTAGACAGAGAGCTCCTGCAGCTCCATGGACAAGTTTCAGCTCAGCCTGACTTGCCAGTCCTTGCTTTAGGTGAGGTGCCTGCCAGGCAGAGGTGCTGCTTCCCAAGCTGAGTGCTGTGGTGCTCTAGAGGGAAGGGATGCCACACAGAGGAACCTTGAGAGGACAGAAGTGGGCTGGGGCAAACCTCAGAAAGTCCAGCAAGGCCAGTTACAGCATCCTGCACATGGCTGAGGGCAATCCCAAGGCTGGACAGTGCATGGATTGAGAGCAGCCCTGCAAAGGAGGGTGTTTGGTGCATGAAGAACTCAGTGTGTCCTATCAGTGTCCACTCACAGCCCAGAAAGCAATTGTATCCTGGGTTGCATCAAAAGCAGCATGGCCAGCAAGTCAAGGGGGATAATTCTACCCATAAAATCCCTTCTCCTGAGACCCCACCTGCAAAATGGTGTTCAGCTCTGGGGCCCCAAGCAAAAGGAGCACAGGGACCTGTAGAGATGGACCATGGACCTCCTGATCCAAGGAGGGCCACAGATATGCTCAGGAGGCTGGAGTACCTCCCCTGTGTAAGAGACCTGGGGTTATTTAATGTATGGAGAGAAGAAAAAGCTCTGGGGAAACCTTCCAGCAGCCTTCCAGTGAAAGTGGCCTACAAGAGAAATAGAGGGGCTTTATACAAAGGCATGTGGTGATGGGAGTTGTTGAGGACAGCAAAATGGGGAAAGTAGTCAGTGCACTGGATGGCAGGGCTGATATTTGTAGGGAGAGTTTGGAGAAATAGGTTGGCACAAATGTTATAAAGTCTGACACAAGTAAATATGTCATCTTGCATCTGGGAAAGGACAAGCCTGTGCAATCAGCCTGGGTTAGAGGCCTGCCCAGGAAGCAGCTTTGTAGATAATGACCCTGGTAGACAAAGAGCTGAACAGGAGATGGGAATGTGTTCCCCTGACAAAAAAGGTGACAGACAGCTTCAGCTCTGCAAAGGTCTGTCCAGCTAGTGCAGGGAAATGATCCCAGCCCTCCATCAGTGCAGGACTGTGTCAAGACCACAGCACTCCAGGAAACCTCATTTTAGTATATGACTACCTGGTGAGATGAGGAGATAGAGCCTTCTGGAGGTGGAGACAAACAGCAACAGACACTAATTGAAACATCCTAAGTTCTCACTAAATGTAAAGGAATTTGTCTGTTTTGTGTTGGTGTTTTTTTTCCCTATAAGACTGGCCAAATACTAGAAATCCCTCCAAACATAAATTATTATATGATTCTATATTTTAATAATTCTATTGTCCAACACACATTTATAGTCATCTTTATTGCTCTTGTTTGTGCAGGAGTAAAGAATGGAATCAAAGAACATCACCACTGTGACAGAATTTGTCCTGTTGGGCCTGACACAGAGTCACAAGCTGCAGTATTGTCTCTATGTGATCTTCTTCCTCATCTATGTAATAACCTGTCTACTGAACTTCACCATCATTGCCACTGTGACTGTGGACCAACAGCTCCACACCCCCATGTACATTCTCCTGGCCAACCTCGCTTTCCTCGACATCAGTGATTCCTCGGTCAATACTCCCAAACTGCTGGCAGGCCTCCTCACCCAGCACAAAATTATCTCATTCAATGAGTGTTTCCTCCAGATATTCTTCTTCCATTTCATTGCAGGTGCAATGTCTTTTTTGCTCGTAGGGATGACAGTCGATCGGTTTGTGGCCATCTGTGAGCCACTGCGCTACTTGTCCATCATGAGCTGGAATGTGTGCACAGGATTGGTGGCAGCTGCATGGTTTGGTGGATTTCTTCATTCAGTTATACAAACTGGTCTTCTTCTCCAGCTGCCATTCTGTGGCCCAAATGTTCTGGACAATTTCTACTGTGATGTCCCTCAAGTCATCCAAGTGGCCTGCACTGACACTCACGTGGCTGAACTCCAGATGGTGTTTAATAGTGGAGTGATCCTCATCACCCTTTTTGTAATCTTGATTACTTCTTACATTGTCATCCTGTTTAAGATAAGGACGTGCCTCACAGAAGGGAAGCGAAAAGCTCTGTCTACCTGTGGAACACAGATAACTGTTGTGAGCTTAATATTCATCCCCTGCATCTTCACCTATGCCCAGCCTTATAAGAAATACCCCAGGGACAAGGTGGCCTCCATTGTTTACACTGTGTTTGCTCCAATGTTAAACCCCATCATCTACACACTGAGAAACACTGAGATGAAAAAGGCCATCAGGAGAACACTGGGAAAAATATTTCTGTCAGCAGGAATACAGAAACCAGACCGACAGTAGATCCAAAGACATCAAATCTGGTGTTTCCATGAGAAAACTGTGTTCATCACCGATATTCCTGCTCCTTCAGTAAGCTTTCTTGATGTGAGATGGGGACAACATTCACCTCCCATCAGTTTAGGAAGGTCAGGCACATGGAGTGTGCAGTATGGTGGAATGTCTAGGGCCTAATAAAAGTTGTCTGGAATAAATCACCTGCAGAAACATCACCATGACACACCCTGGGTGCTGACCATGCAAGGGGCCCTACCCACACCTTCCTCCTCTCCTGTGGAAATCACAGCTGAGCCTTCCACTCCAGCATGTCTCACTTCTCTTTAGCACCATGGTGTAGTTTCATCTCTAAGTTAGCACTGATGCCTTACTGAAACTGGAAATAAAATAACACACTTTGGAGATATTAGTTATAGAAGGGAATATAAAGGCTGGTCTTTGTTGGAGGCCTCCAGAGGCAGACATGGAAAATATCCACAAAATGCCCACTCCCCATGGGGTGAATACAGTTTTATAAGTTTAGTAAATTAGCATATTTAACAAAAATCACTAATTAGGAGCACAAGAGGTGATGCAATTTTCCCCAGTTCAGCCTTCTCTGAATCCTCCCTGCTCAGATGGAAATTAAACTTTATTTATAAAAATATATCTTGAAGACCTGGTCTCAGCCTTGGTTCCTAGGGAGAATCAAGGTAGGATAGGGGTCTTGGAATGTATTTTATCTTTCTGCCTATCAGGATAGGGAAAAGTACTGGGGAAAATTAGCTAGAATACAATAATAGGCTGCAGAGATACAAATGCATGTGTAAAGAATACGGAGAATACATGAAAGAAAAAAGGCAAAAATAAATTTGGCATCAGCACGATGGCATCTGCACATTACTGCATTAGTAACTTCACCAGCAATGTTGAGAGAGACAGAAAATCATTCTGAAAATGCATTAGTGGGAGAAAACTCTCAGACCTGTAAGGATTATTTAGGTTTAGAGCTGTTTGAGTTTTAATTCCCTTAGAGAGACAAGTGAGAAATGAAATCCCTCTTGACAGTAGAAACAAAAAACTCCCACAAAACACATAAACAACTGATGGGAAAAGAAACTGAAGTAGAATTCAGAATAATAAAAGGAAAAAAAAGAGAAAAGAAGGTAATAAAAGCACACAAGAGGAAAAACCTCCTTATGTCACTTTTTGATGCTTTGTCAAAGGTCAAAATTTCATGTCATGTATTAAAATCAAAACATTCCTTGACATTCTTTATTTTCTCCATTTTTCCTTTCTTCCTGAAGATGAAGAGCTCATTGTGCTGGCTGTGTGTATAAACTGAGTGATATTTCCCAGCTAACTGTGAATCCTTGCCCATCTGCCTGCCCAAATATCATCACTGGCACCAGAGGCTGTGCCCAGACTGCCTCTGCTCTCTCTCCCTGCTGAGCAAGGGTGAACATTGTGTGCCAGACACTGCAGGAGAGTTTGTCCCTTTCCATCCTTTAGATAAAGTTTTCTTTGTCTCTTCAGTGTGCTGTGGTTGTTTTCTGCCTCCAAGGGTGATAATTATAGAATTGTGGCATCAGGTGTGGTTCTGGAGTGCTAACTCAGGTGCCTTGGGGTTTTAGAGTTTTTAGAGTTAAAGCCCTAAGGTGCATGAATTTATTTGTAATTGTTTATTGTATTTATTATTTCTTGTAACTTGTCTTATTCCTGGACCATGTGACCTCTAGAAGCCATCATCTAGAACTCTCCAGATCACTTAAAATATTAATTCAATAAATCAAACCAACATTCCTTCCCACACTGCATAGATACATGTATATTAATAAACCCCTTGTAATGCTAATAAAAAATTAAACTCAACACTGACTTTTAATGTTATAATCTGAATTAAAGAAACAGCGCATTCCAACAATGCTAAAACTTCATTATGTGGTTCTAGAGTGAGGAATCAAATGCCACACCAGCAACACATATCCAGTGATTAATTTAGCTGTTTTCTTGGGGCTTCCTTAAGGAGACCAAGTGCACCCATAACAAATGATTTGACAGAACCATAAACTGGCAGCATGTTAAGAGCTCAGCAGCCCATATCAAGACAGACATTTAAATCAGTACCCATTTTTGCCAGAAAAAGTGAATTAATTAGTTATTAAATACCATTTCACACAGACTTCTGAAAATAATACATAGAAAAAAAGTTAAAATATGTGATTTTTTAAAATGCATTCTTCCATAAAAATGCTAGAATCAAAAATTCACGTTTTGGGGTTGGGGAGATGAATTCAGGCACAAACTTTTGCCCCTGGTCTATTTGCATAGCTGTGATCCACTGAACAGCACAATTTAACCAGAACATCCCTTTTTTGTAGAGGAAAGAGGATGGTGTAAGTGAGCTCAGCTCTAGCAAAACCAATGGCTTAGAGACCAAAAATCAGTGCTCCTTGCTAGAGGTGAAACTCTGATTTACACCTGCCTTGCTTTCTACCACATCAGTTTTGATTTGGGGAATCCTTCATGCACATGTGGCAACAGGAAACAGAAGAGATGAATTCAGGAAAAAGGGAAAGTTGCTGGTAGTGTTTGGGCATTGCAGCAGGCATAAAAAAGGTTTATTCCAAATGGATGAATGATTTTGGATGTCTCTCCTTGGACTAGAGTCTGAAACATCTTTAAAAGAGGCAAATTAAAAGCTTTAACCATTTGGAATGCAATGTCCCTTAAAGTGATTAACACTACTGTCATTATACTAGACTAATTAAAATTTTTTAAGAAGTGCTTCTTTCAGTATTATCTTTTCAAGTAATAAAACAAGAAAAAATTCTCTCTGTTTTTACAGAGGTAAAAGTAGATCAGCTCCCGGAAGCAAAGTCTGTAGAAATGTAAATAAAGTTTCATTAAGTCTTTATCCAGTGTTCTAATTATGAAGAAAAAATATACAACAATACACAGACAAGTTAAGTTCCCTAGAGGAGTCTAAGCAAACAACATTGCCAAATGCAATTAATTACTTTGTCATTAGCTCATTGTGAAGTTTCTGAAGTCAGGCAATGACTTCATCCTGAGATGTCTTACATTGCCTTTCTCTTTTACAAGCAAACTAAATCAACTAAAGAACATTATACTCAATTATACTTTACTGCCTTTATGGCCAGGTAACTAAGTCAGATGAGACAGCCCTCAAAGGTCAGTATGGCCACATTGGTAATGGAGATTTCCTTTGCTTGAGCTCAATATGGAAAGTGCAGGTTGAAGCAGGCTCAGGCCCAGGCTATTCACCTGTTCCCTCCAGAATAAACTTCAAAAACTCTCCCAAATAAAATACCTAGGTTGTAGCAGCCCTTTTCTCTGTGTGCCCTTCCAGATATCAGTTAATCCTCTGGAAACTCTTCATGCCTGGAGGAATTTCTCCAGCTGAGACTTACAGAATTATCTTATCCCATGACTCAGACTCCACAGTGCTTGGAGGGTGTGGGCACTGCATTAAATGCTCAGTTTTTGCTGGAAATAAGAAATGAGCATTAGTTAATCTTCCTTTTCTTTCCCCATGCCTTAAATGAAAAACACAAGGCTCTGAAAGAAGTGAACTAATTTCCTGATCACTTTCATTCAGTGGACCTCATTTCTGCTGGAAGGAATGGAAAACATATAACAAAAAGAAAAAAGTAAAGCAAAACACATAGTCCGTATCAACCAGTCTATGCTTAGCTTGGAAAGTTCACTATGAAAGAGTGAGAGGGTGAGGTGAACTCCTGCAATGGAAGTGAGGAGTTCCAGCCTGGATACCTGAATTAGATATGGGAAGTGCTCTGTTTTAGAAGAAATGTCTGGTATAAATATTGTACTCCTAAGGAAGAAATTGAGATAGAAATTCTAAATAATTTGCTTCTGAAGCAAAGAATAAAGACAAAATATTTACAAGTGTGGAACAGATCTTTGTGCCTGCCGTTCCTCCTGAGCTAGCAAACCATTAGAGCTCACCAAAAATGGAAATAAGGTTTTTAATCCACACATTCATGGACAAGAAAACCTTTTATTTCTTCATCAACACAGCCATTGCTCTGATTAGTACTTCTTTCACTTCTTTATTCCTCAGACTGTAGATCAGGGGGTTTAATGTGGGAATTACAGTTGTGTATATGAGAGCCATGATCTTCTTAGTATCTTGTGAATTACTGGATTTTGGCTGTAAGTAAATCAAAGTCCCACTCGCACAGTACAGCGTTACAACAGTGAGGTGTGAGGAACAGGTGGAGAAGGTCTTGTGTCTGCTCTCTGCAGAGGAGATCTTCAGGATGCTGGAGATGATGCAGGCATAGGACAGCAGGATGAGGCAGAAGGGTGTGAAGATGACGAGCACCGTGGCTGAGATGAGCTGCTTCTCGTAGCGCGAGGTGTCCGAGCAGGAGAGCGTGATGAGCGGGGGAATGTCACAGAAGAAGTAGTCGATCCTCCTGGGCCCACACAAGGACAGGGTGAACACCCAGGCTGTCTGCACCACCGACACAACTTTGCCACTGCAGCAGCAGAGCAGCACCAAGGAGAGGCAAGCCCTGGTGTTCATGATGGCAGAGTATCTCAGGGGGCTGCACACGGCCACGTAGCGGTCGTAGGCCATGGCTGCCAGCAGGTACCACTCGGTGGCCGCCAAGAAAACCACACAGTAGAGCTGTGTGACACAGCCCAGGTAGGAGATGCTCCTGTCCTCTGACAGGAGGTTTGCCAACATCTTGGGGACGACGACTGATGCTGTGGAGATATCCAGGAAGGACAGGACGCGGAGGAAGAAGTACATGGGCATGTGGAGGGAGGGGTGCACCGTGACCATGCAGATGAGAAAGTTCCCCATGAGAGTCATGCTGTAAACTAAGCAGATTGTGAAGAACAGCAGGTGCTGAAGTTCTGGGCGGCTGGACAATCCAGAGAGGACAAATTCAGTCAGCAGGGTGTGGTTTCCTGCATCTTGTTCCTCTGCTGGCTCCATCTGGGAGGACTCAGAGGGACAGACTGTCAGAGCCGTAGTCACTGCAACAAGATCACTACACATCAGCCAGTTACTCAAGCCAGGAGTCTCTTGGGAATGCCTGGAGAGCTGCTGGATCAAAGGCTGTATCTAGAGCAGCTTGGGCTGAGCACATGGAGAAGGCAATGGCTGTGTGTGCTGCAGGGGGAGGTGTCAGTGCCCTCCAAGTGTCACTGTCTGAGACAATCATCAAAGCCTTCCACTAAGAGGAGTTGGCATTTAGGGGGAGGCTGCAGATTAACTGCATTTAGGGGGAGGGTGCAGGGTAATTGCTGAGGATATGCTCTCCCTCCAGATGTCAGGTCTGTGCTCCCAGCTGGTCCCCCAGGCTCCTCCTGCAGTGAGGGGAATGCCCAGATGACAACTGAAATACCCACAGACCAAAGAAAGAAAACCACTTTTGTCACCTTGGGGAACAGTGGGCATTGCTCCTTGCACTTTGTTTTTCTTGCTGAGTGGGCTGACAGGGCAGGCAGCTTTCCTCCAAGACATCTGAAGCTACCTTTAGAGCAACTCAGCTTCAGATGAATGCCAGGGAAGTTCAGGTTGCTGCGGGGGGCTTTGGCTCATATTCACTTCAATCCCCAGCTGTCAGTGGGACAGAAACATTCTGGGACAGAAATACTTCCAAGAACCCAGCTTTGGGGAAAGCACTCCCAAACAGAGCAAGCAGAAATCAGACCTAAGCCAACTCCTGTCCACAAAACACCCACAGACCAAAGAAGGAAGCACCAAAGCAAACCAAAGAAAAATTCTGTGTGTAGGCAGGCAAAGGAAGAAGGAATCATTCAAGGCAGAGGTACCCATAGAGAATGACAAGGAAATGCAGAGGGTGAAGCTCAGGACCATCCATTCATGACTCACATGGCCTCATTCCCCTGAGGAGTGTTGCTGTGTGTAGGATGTTCACTCAGTGCTGGAGCAGCTCTGTGTTTTCTCACTGCCCAGTGAGAGGGAAACTGAGGCACTGAAAGAGAAAAGAGATCAGCCTGCCACAGAGGAGAATGGGGTGGTTAATTCTGTGTCCTTTAGACTCAGCATCTCTTACCAAAGAGGCCACCAGCCACTGCCCTACACTAGCAAATCTCAAGGCACAAAATACATTTTGGCATCAGAAATGTATCCATGGATGGGGACATTACTCTGTACACACAAGGACCACGTCAACAGAGCTGGCACACAGAGAGGGACACAGCCTCAGAGCAAGAGCAGCCACACAGCTCTGCCAGGACCCCTCAGGCTGACTCTGATTTCTCTTCAGCTGTAACTCACACAGGATATCTTCTGTGGGTTTTATGACATGAACACAGAGGTGCAGGCTGTGGATCCTGGAGCCACAGACAACTTTAACACACAAGCACAACAAAGAAACTCCCAATATTCTCAGACTTCTGATGGTCTGATGTATTTAAAAGGAATCTTTCTGGGTTTGACTGTTTCCATTAACATAGGAGTGAAAGGACACTTTTTTGAGTGGTATCTCAATATAGCCTATGCATGACAGATAAACTCCTTGTGGTCTCTAACAGCACACATTCACACTGGTTTTCTTGTTAGAGCCATGAAACTGGAGTGGAAATGATCTAATTCTGCTCTCCAAGCCCATATGAAAGTTTTAGACTATTGCTGTGGTCATTAGCTCCTTATTAAAGTCAACAACACTCACAGCAGCCACTGCTGTACTGACAGATTTTTATGCCCTAATTCAGACACCTCTCAGAACAACCCTCAATTTATGTAATTTCTGTGAAGTGGCTCTGAGGCTCTTTACCTAAATTTTGGCCTTAGCTCTTCCCTGGATTTTCTTTACACATTCACAATAGACATTTTGAAGTAAAGCATCCTACCTTCAGCAACTCTGCCATCCACTGCCTCCAAAATGGGTTGTTCAAATTTTGATAGAAGTATTTCCCTTGTTCTCTTACATTAGGAACAGTGTTGGGCTGATGATTCCTACTGTCAGCTTACACTGCAGATTAAAAATTAGATTTTAATTGCAGATGATCTTCTGCTGCAGCTGGAATAATCTGTAGACATTAGCACATGGCATATACCATAGAAAGCCAAAGACCTGTCTCACAGAAAGAAAGAAAAGGAATTTGTTAGAATTGTTTCGACTCAGTTGAATTGGCTGCAGCTGAAAAGGTGGAGACCTCAATGCATCTCTATTTTTTGCCCATGAAGGGAAGGGCTGAGGTGCCTCTGACAGCTGGTTTAAGTAGAGTCTTTTGAAAGCCCTCAGTCCCCTACAGGTGGGATCGATTTAATCTGATTTCAGAACTGTCAGGGATGGTTGCTCAGAGCTGTTCTCCCTCTGGGTAAGGGGATGCAGCAAACAATGGCATCCTCATAACAGCTCTGAAATACTGTTCTGGATGGCAGCCTTCCCTCCCCTGTCTGTAAAGAGGGACCAGAGGGATTTCTTCAGACACAGGCATCTCATGTCTTATGTGTCTAAGGCTATGAGCTCTGCATTCTCACCAGCTGGTGGCTGGTTGTTAACCTGAAAGGTTTGAGCAACAGCTGGAAACGCCAAGGGATGTGTGGCTCCAGGGACAGAATTAGCCTGATGTTGCCTGCTGTCTTTGTTTAATTGGACTGGGTGCCTTTAGGGGCAGTGCTGTCTCTGGTAGGAGAGTTTTCATTCAATTCCAGCCACTCACATTTGTTCTTCAGTCTTAAGTGACTACTTGTCAACTGTAAATCCTTCCTTTCCTTCCTTTCCTTCCTTCCCTTCCTTCCCTTCCTTCCCTTCCTTCCCTTCCTTTCCTTCCTTCCATTCTTTCCATTCTTTCCATTCCTTCCTTCCCTTCCTTCCTCAATTCCTTCCTTCCTCAATTCCTCCCTCCCATTGGAATTGAACAAAATAAATCTGTACCGACCTTAGCTACTCTGATTGGTGATTTCTGATTTCCCAAGGACATCTGATGGCAGTCAGCCACTCTGATAAGAGCCAGGATCTTTGCCTGGCCCTGGCCAGCTCTCCCCATTCCCATCAGAGGAGGGGTGGGAACAACAAAAAAAAAGGAAAAACTCTCTAGATGGAACCAGCCCACATGCAGGTCGCTTCTCCAAAGGTCTCTGATGGGATATGCACTCAACAGATACCCCATTCCTCTCCCTGTGGGGGCTCTGAACCAGCCCAGACCTCTCCATCTTTTTGAGAAGATTGTGACAAAAATGCAGAGAATGTGTTATGAACCCCTCTTCAAGCCACAGTCTGGGGTTGTAAGGACAAAATCAGCAAATGATAGAGATGCAGGCAGGCTGAGGTTTCCTGTTTCAGCTCCACATGACATTTATAGAGGTTGTCATACTGTACCTGTCTCCTGCCTGGCCACAGCAACTGGTTTGGCTCATCAGGACACTGGTGGAAGATGCTGCTTCCCCTTCTGCTCACAAGTGCTTTTGTCCTTCTTCCCTGCCCTGGGGCTGGTGAGTACACAGAGATGGGACTTGGACAAGAACATGTGAGGGCACAGGTGGACACTGAGCAGTCAATCTCAGGCAAGGTTCCTGCCTCGCCTTCTCTCCTATCTCTACTCTCCTACTTTGCTCTCTCCTCTTATCCCTCAGCTCAGACTGTGCCTGAAACCAATGAGACATTACAGGCACTTGAGCTGTGCACTTGATGGCATTTTAGACATCCAGAGCCAGGAGTGGTCAGACCCCAGACAGTGCTGATTGTCTTTGTCATCGTGCACCAGCAATGCTTTGGACAGCCCCAGGAAGGAGAGCTGTTGGTAGCACTGGCACATGACATTAGGGGATGACTCTTTCCCTTCATGCAGCCCCAAACTTGACAGGAAATATCAGCATACATTATATTAACATTTCCCACCTCTCTTCCAGAAAGGATCATTGGTGGACGGGAAGTGAAGCCCCACTCCAGACCTTACATGGCTTATTTAAAGATTCAAATTGGCTCAAAAACTAATTACTGTGGAGGGTTCCTGATTCGCCCAGATGCAGTGCTCTCAGCAGCTCACTGTGTGGATAAGGAAGGGTAAGACCCTGTCTTCCTTGCACAGGTGATTTTTCCCAGTCTCACACAGTCCCAAAGGGCCTCAGCCCTGGTCTGGCTGAACAGTACCCCATGTCTCTTCGGGCAGAGCAGGGATCTCTGAAGCTGAGCTCTCCTCTGTGAGTTGCAGGAATTGTCTGCCAGGGGCTGAGTGTCCTTGGGGACAGGAATGCTCACAGTGGTCTCCAGGGTCATGGTTCCTACCATGGCTTAGAGCTACTGCTGGAGAAGAGGGTCCAGCATCTCCCCTTCCCTGCTTCCCTTTGTCTTCGGAAGGGGCAGCTCCCACCTGTGTCAGTGTGGGGTGAGGGATCCTCAGCTGGATTGTGGAAAAAACCCAGGTTACAGAGGACAACTTGCTGAGAGCTTCTCTTTGGGGAGGTTTATCCCACCACCACCTCCCTCCAACCACCTGCTCTGGGGGCTGTTCCTGTGGCCAGTGCAGCTGGAACATGTTGGTGTTTCCTGGCAGGACACTGAGGATCACTGTGATTCTGGGAGCCCACAATGTGAGCAACCGAGAGCCGAGCCAGCAGAGGGTCCGTGTTGGACACTGGGTCATCCATCCCAACTATTCCCGTGCTGGCTTCAAAAATGACATTGTGCTGCTGAAGGTATGGCCCAACACATCCTGCCAGAGGGATCTCCCCCTGCTCACCTCCCCAAACCTCTGAACTTGTTCCTAATCCTTTGCTGGCTCTAACCCGTGTTCTCTCTGCCTCACAGCTGCAGCCAAAGGCCAGGATCAATAAGAACGTGCAACTTATCTCCTTTCCCAGGAGCAAGGGACATGTGAGAGCAGGAGCTGAATGTAAGGTGCCTGGCTGGGGCTGGACATCTGTGACAGGACACAGGACTAATGTGATGAGGGAGGTGGAACTGAAGGTGCAAAATGAGGCAATATGTCAGCTGCAATTCTGTGACTACCAGCGTCAGTCTATGATCTGTGTTGGGGATGACTACAATAAAAAGGCATCTTACTATGTAAGTGTTGTTTTGGGCTGTAGGCTTGGGAGGATGTTGGGACTCAACAGTCAGCTTGGTTCTCAGGTGGAAGTAAAATGAACCAGGATGGACCAGGACCTTTAGAATGATGATCTGAGGGTTGTCACAGAAGCTCTGAAGCTGACGTGCTCCCTGAATTGGGGTGCATTTTCCTAACTATCAACAGCATTTGCTTTTTTACTTCCTTGGGGATGTTCTACCCAGCCTAAACAGTGCTCCAGTGTGTAAATTCTTTGTGATATCCTTGATAGGATGGCTTAGATACTTCCCCATGTCTAAAGTAGGTCTATGTTCTTTTTGAGCTTTTGAATCTCAAAGTGCCTCCAGGCCTGAATTGTTTCATGGGTGGGCTCAGAGGAGAAGTGAGGAGCTACAAACCCTGCAGAACTGGGTCTGGAGGGAGAGAGGTGGTTGGAAAAGGAGGTTCTCATGGAGGGAGGGAAGAGGAAACTTGTTCCTTAAAGCAGGGAGAGCTGTGCTGTGGCATGTCTGACCCCTCTCACTCCCTTCATGACACAGGGTGATTCTGGTGGCCCGTTAGTCTGCAATCAGAAGGCTCATGGCATTGTTTCTCATGGACATAAACACCGCCTCTTCCCTGAGGTATTTACCAGAATCTCGTATTTTGAGCCCTGGATACGTGAGCAGCTGAGGAGGTTTGCACTCCAAGGCTCTCCATCTGACTAAAATGCTCCACAACGCATCAAACACCTGCTGGTGCTCAGAAGCTTCCAGGGGCAGCTGAACTGGAGTCAGAGAAGCCCCCATGGTGCAGACACAGGCTTTTGCACTGAGGAAAGTCTCTGTGACAAGGTAAAAATGCAAGTCCTAAGTACACACAGCTTCCCGTTGTTCCCTTTCTCCCATTGCTGTTCCAGCTCTGCTTTCTGGCCATCAATAAAAGCATATTCAAACTTGCTTGTGTCTGCAGCCTTCTTGGGAGCTGGCTGCAAACCCTGGGTGGGAGAATGAGGAGATGACACTCTTTGGGAGAACCTGAGGGAGATTGAAGGTGGGCCACTCACTACGGGTCTCAGTCCCCAAATGCTGCCCACTTTGTTTTGCCTCACTCCTCACTACTGTGCAGCATTTTGCCCTTTTACAAATATTCTTTTTGGAGAGGCACCACCAGCTTCATTGATTGGCTTAACCCTGGTCTGAGGTGGGACCACAGTCAAGCCCTCAGGAGCTGTTCCATGTCTGGTGTCAGAGCAGTGAGAAGGCAGCCCCTGGTCTGTTCTCACGGAGGCCACCCTGCTGAGCACCACATCGCTGCTCAACACCACATCCCTGCTCAACACCACATCCCTGCTCAACACCACTTCCCTTTCCTGCTCTGGTGTATCACCCAAACCTTTGGGCCGCAGCCAGCTTAGCCTTGCCCACCTTGAAGACACTGTCTGCAAACCACTGATCAATGAGTCACAGACAGGAAACCTTACATGATCACCAGAGCATAACTGGAGCTGTTTTCTACTCTGCTGTACACTTACACTACCCTAAAGTCACACAGAATGGTCAAGGTGGGAAGGGACCTTCAATTTTTCCTTGGTCCAATGCCCCTGCTCAAGCATGGCCACCTAAAGCACCAATTGCTCAGGACCAGCTCCAGGTGTTTTTGGAACATCTCCGAGCATGGAGACAGCACAACCTCTCTGGCCAACTGTACCAGTGCTTGGTCACCCTACAGATAAACGTGTTTGCTGATGCTCAGAGCCTCCCATGTTTCAGTTTGTGCTTTTGTCCTGTCACTGCACACCACTGTGAAAAGAACGTGTTTGTCTCCCACTTACATCCTTCCTTCAGAGATTTACATCCATGCTTATTATCCCACCACAGCATGCTCTTTCCAGGATAAGAACTCACAGCTGTACCAGTGCTCCACACAGGAGAGATGTTCCAGTCCCTTCACCATCTCCACGCCACCTTGTTGAACTCTCCCCAGCACATCTGTGTCTCTCTTTTACTGGGAGCTCAGAACTGCCCATGGTACTCCAGGTGCCACCTCACTAGTACTGAAGAGAGGGGAAGGATCACCTCAAGCTACTGGAAACAGCCACAGAATCCTAGAATAATTTGGGTAGTAAGGGATCATCTAATTCAACCCCTGTGCAATGAGCAGGGACACCTTCTGCTAGACCAAGTTACTCAGAGCGCCATCCAACCTGACCTTGAATGGGATGGGGCATCTAAAGCTCTCTGGGCAGCCCATTTAATTGTTTTGACACCCTCATAATAAAAAAATTCTTTATTATATCTAACCTAATAATTAAAATACTAGTGTTCTTCCTTATATATATCCTAATAACTAAGTAGCTAATCTACTGTCTTTTAATTTAAAACTATTAGCCTTGTGGTATTGCAACAGGCCCCAGTAGAGACATCTGAGTGACATGACTCACTGTGATCTCCAGGTAGGTATTCAGTTTTTCCTAATTTATTGTTTAAGTATTTCTTAATCTAATTATGCCTGAAAATTTCTATCACCTGTCCATCTCCCCACTGAGCCAGTTCTTTTCAGGATTCATGTCCTGGGAAAACTGGAGCACAGGGGGATCAGAGTAGAAGATATGACTTTTTTGTTAACTAAGGTGGTTTTTTTTTCTTTCAGTCATTAAAAAAAAAGCCTTGAAAGCCTTTTGCAGTGATGGTGAATATTCCTTCTGTTTCTGTGTATAATTAGTACAGCAGGTAAAGGTAGTGCTAATTAGAGAAGAGAAAGGCTTTGCAAACAAAGCCTTTGGCACCACTGGGGGTTGCAGTAACAGGAGAAGAGACTGGAACAAAACTTGTCTTATTGCCAGCACATGAATCAAACTTTGACTCAAATGCTTAATCACTAAGATACTTTTTCTCTCTTCCTGATTCCCACCAGGGTATAAGCCAGGACTAATTCCCTATTAAAATGTTTCCATTTCCATTCTCCCTGTCACACGTAATTAGAACAAAAGACAAACAGAAATTAAGCTGTAGGTATTTATTGAAGCACAGGTGGGAGCTCCCTAATTAACCACACGATGCTTCCAGCGCTGCGGGGAGCGGCAGAAGAACAACCACAGAGCTCATTTATGGTTGTCAGCATTTTAATGAGCCCCTGCAGGACCCTGGTACCACCTCCCTGCTTCTCAGCTGTGGCAAAATCTGCCAAGGTACCCTGAGGAAATGACACGGCAGAAGCAGGAACAAACTTGGAGCTTTAATAGAGCCCAGTGTGAGACAGAAACAAAGTTGGACAAAGTGCTCCCAGCAGGGCTCATTAGAGCACAAACTCACAGAGTTTGACTGCAGACAGCTCAGGAAGCCTCAAACTCTCTGGCATCAGCCTTTCCTCACAGCAGTCAAACAGCAGTGTCCAGGCAGGGCCAAGGTGGTGCTTCCTGGCAGCAATGCAGCTCATGGCAGGGGAAAGGAAACACCACACACACACCTCCCAAAGCTGCGCTTCCAAACACCCACAGAGACACAGAGCTGCTCTCCAGGCGTCAGCTGCACTGCTCAGACACTGCCACTGCAATGCAGTGAATGCAGCAGAGTGACTGCAACACACCCTGGCACTGCTACAGTCACTGCAACACAGTGCAACACACTGACTGCAACACACACTGTCACTGCAACAGAGTGACTGCAACACACACAGTGACTGCAGCAGAGCGACTGCAACACACAGTGACTGCAACAGAGACTGCAACACACACTGTCACTGCAACAGTGACTGCAACAGAGTGACTGCAACACACAGTGACTGCAACATACACACTGACTGCAACAGGGACTGCAACAGAGTGACTGTAACACACACTGCCACTGCAACAGTGACTGCAACAGAGCAACTGCAACACACACTGTCACTGCAACAGTTTGACTGCAACACAGTGACTGCAATACACACAGTGACTGCAACAGAGTGACTGCAACACTGTAGCACACTGCATCTGTAGCACAGGGACTGCAACACATGGACTGTGACACTGACTGAACACACACAGTGACTGTAACACATGGACTGTGACACTGACTGAACACACACAGTGACTGTAACACATGGACTGTGACACTGAACACACACAGTGACTGTAACACATGGACTGTGACACTGACTGAACACACAGTGACTGTAACACACACTGCACCTTCAGGACCCAGCAGCTCCCCTAACTCCCAGCCTCCTCCTTCCCCCCCAGTCTGGGTGACCCTGCATTCAGACATCCAGGTTTAAATGCAGCACCTCAGGCCCTGTTCTCTGCTGCATCAGACCTTCAGCACATCCTTCTCTGCTCACTGAGAGAAACCATGCAAGAGGATGCTGGGTGAGGCACGTCTGCAGAACTCGTGCTCGCATTTGCCATCAGTGTTTGGCCTAGAAAAGTTTTGAAGTTCACATAAATGGCTGAAAACAGCTGAGATGACAATTACAAACAAATATGAATATGAAATGTTTAAAAGTGTGGAACCAGTTAAGAGCTACCAGCATGTAATTCAATTTAAAAAACAATTTAAAAAAATCACTCTTGCAGCTGTGTAGCACTCACACCCACTGAGATAATTACAGTCATCTTGGTGTAGTTACTCTAAATGAGAGATTGGGCTGTTCCCTCTGAATTCCATTCATTCATCTTTAGACCTATCTTTAGCTGTCTAAAAAACTTATTCCATAAATCTAAATTATTAATCCAAGATTCATCTGTCCTTAACAACTCTGATAAAGTGAAATGGGACATGGTTTAGAGGAGTGGGATTGCAATCAGCTGATTTGGGGAATTGCTACTTAGATGAAATCTGTACTAAATACCCAGGCAAATGGTGCAATTCATAGAGGGAGAACCCTTTTCCACAGAAAAGTGCCTCGTCCTCACTGAAGTCACTCAGATTAGTGTTAGTCACTCAGATTAGTGCAACAATTTAATAGTAAAAAGTCAATGGTAAATGTCACAGGCTCTGAGATATAAGAATTTAATGAGAAGCTCTCCTCAAATATGTTATTTTCTTTCATTGTCTTATAGGGGAAGAAATAGTTCCCTCACCTTTAGGAAATATTCACATTTCTTGACCACTTTGCTCAGAGTATCCTTCACTTCTGTGTTTCTCAGACTGTAGATGAGCACTGGATCTACAACAGTGTAAAAAACTGAGAAGACTTTCTTCAGTGCTTTGAGAGTCCTCGTTTTTGGTAGGACACCTATTAAGCTTCCATAAAAAAAGTGTAGCAAAAGTGAGGTGGGAAAAACAGGTGGAAAAACAAGGAAAGGAGGAAGAGAAAAGCTTGCATTTCTGGGATATTCCCAAACTCCAGGGTCAGAAATACTGCAATGACTGTTCTATTTTTGATTCCCCATTTGCAATGTATCAAGTCAAGAAGAAATGCAACACAGCCTGCAAAGCATCAATAATTAAATTTAATCATTCATCCATCATCACTGAGAGGTTACAGAAGAAAGATGACACTCTTACCATTGCCTGATTGTTTATTTTCTTTTTAAGCAATTCTTGAACATTGTCCAGACAATTGTGTGAGAGATCATTGGGTAATTTTCATTTTGCCTTATGCAAATTTTTTAACAAAATAATTTCCTTGAGTTTGGAAAGCATCACACAGAATTGCAGCAGGATGTTTTGACAACCATGTATTGCAACCACACCAGACCAGCACAACCAGTGGAAAACTGAAATACACATTTTCTAAGAATTGTAAAGACTGATGAAAGTTTCTGGATAGAAAACTTTATAAAAATCTGAAATACCCAGAAGAAGATTGAGGAAAATAAGAAATGGTATGACTTATCTTCCTTGGCAGGAGTGGGTGACCATTTCATAATCAAATGCTATATTGGCCTGGTTTCAGCTGGCACAGAGAAAATTTTGTTGTTAGTAGCTGGCACAGTGCTGTGTTTTGGATTTAGTATAAGAATAATATTGATAACACATGGATGGTTTAGTGTTCACTGTAAATTGAGATTTTAGTCTGCCAGGCTCTGGCAATGAGCAGGGGAACAAGAAGCCAGGAGCTGACCTGAACTGGCCAAAGGGATCTCCCACACCACAGAACAACATGCCCAGCAGGTAAACTGGGCAGAGCTGGCTGGGGGCACTGGTCACTGCTCAGAGATGGGCTGGGTGTTGGTCAGAACAGGAATTGTGCTGCTGGCTTTTATTCCTGCCTCTCTGTTTCATTACTACTACTACTACTACTACTATTATTATTATTATTATTATTATTATTATTATTATTATTATTATTATTATTATTATTATTATTATTGTTATTTTCATTGTTATTAGTAGTATTTTATTTTACTTTATTTTGATTATTAAACTGTTCTTATCTCAAGCCCTGCTTCACCTTTTTTTCAATTCTCTCCCCCTGGGGGAGTGAGTGAGTGCCTGTGTGGTCCTTAGTTGCCAGCTGGGGTTGAAGCTATGACAAACTAGAAAATATAACAGGTACTGAAGGAAATAATGAGAAAAAAAATGTTTTAATGTTTTTTATTTCAGTGTTAGTTATTACAATTATATGTTTCTCTTCTTTCTCTCTCCCTCTTCTCTCTTGTCTCATTATTATTTTTGTAAGGCTTTTTTTCTTGTTTGTTTTTTTTTTTTAGGGATTGGCAGTCTATTATTTGTTTAGGAAAAAGTGATCTTCCAGGGACCTGGTGTCACTTATTACATTAAATATTTTTGCACACACAAATAGCCTCTGTGCAGAGCCTCCCACCTGGACACATCAATGCCACAGTCAGTGGGAACAGCCAGTGTCCAAAGGACCAACACCATGAGGTTTAACAGGACCACTGGCCAAATTTGACAGGAAGCATCACTTAAGTGGCCACAGGCTCTTCCCCCAGCATTGCTGAGAATTAGAATTCAGCCAGGCTCCAAGGAGAAGGTAATTCCATACGAAATCCTCTATGGGAGACCATGTCAGGCTGTAATTATACCCAGGGAAAAACACACAGTAAGGAATCACAATTTGAGGGAATATGGGAAACTTTGGGAAAAAACATTGTCATCCTTGAATAGGTTTATTGTTTTAGCATCATCAGTGACCTTGGATGTTCCACCACACTCTCACTGTCCAGGAGATTGTGGATATGTCCAGAACTGGAGCAAAAAACCACTCAAGCAGAAGTGGAAAGGACCATTCTAAGTTCTCCTTACTATCCACACAGCTACAAAAATTATAGGAGATTCCTGGATTCACTACACACAGCCAAAGCCAGCCCCAGACCTGGAAATGCCTTTACAGCTAAGACTGAAACAAAATGTTCCATGAATTGTACTTGGGATCAAGGATTATCCTGTACTGCATTAGAGGGAGGACAAGGGATTCTGTTGATGGGTATAGTGTGTATGGTAGTGATTGTAACCATGGCTTTGTCCAAGCTGAAGTTCTAAAAATGAGAATAATAAGAAGAATGTTATTTTTGTACTTGCTTTGTAGCTCAATGTATTCTTTGTGGCCTGTGGAGAACCCACACTGGAGCAGAGGAAAAGTGTGAGAGGAAAGAAGCAGCAGAGGGGAACCCCCACACTGAGCACAACCCTCCCCACCCACTCTGAGTGCTGGGGACAGCACTGGAGGAGTCTGGAATGAATGAATAAACTTCAGCACAGAAATGGGGGAAGTACATGTATTTAGCATTTAATTTTTTTTCTCACAATCTAAACTATTTTAGTTGGTAATAAATTACATTGGTTTTCCCCAAATCCAGTATGTTTCACTCAGGTAGAAATTGGAAAATCATCTCTCTGTCTTTCTCTCAATCTACGAGAGTTTTTGTTCCTGTTTTTCCTCTTTTCTGCCTCTGCTCTGTCCCACTGTGGGGTGGAAGGTGTGAGTGGGAAATTGGTTATTCACCAAGGCTGACCCATCCCAGCAAGGGGGAAAATGCTGAGGCAAAGCTGATGCCAGGTAAGAGAAGACTAGAAAACCTTTTCTGTGCTGGCACATTTTTGTTGGCAACAGAAGGAGTTACATAACATCTAGAAAGCATAAACCATTTGAAATGAGCATCTTTAATTCACAATACAGATGTTGCACTTGGGAAACCATTCAGATACTTGGATGGGCTACTCCACCATTCACATCTGTCTCAGGGAGCCAGAAAACTTCAGAATTCCCTCCTTTAAAGCTTGCTTGACTTGCCTGTTCCTGAGAGAGTAGATGTATGGGTTAAGTGTCTGAGTCAGCACAGAGAAGAATAAAGAAAGAATTTTGTCAGAGTCCTGCCCACCTCGCTGTGCAGGGCGGATGTACCTGTAAAGACACGTGCTGTAAAACACCGTCACCACTATGAGGTGAGCTGAGCAAGTGGAAAATGCCTTTTTCCTACCTGCAGATGATGGTATATGCAAGATGGTGAGGATAATGCAGCCATAAGAAACAGCAGTTACTATCAGAGTACCAGGGAGGATGATAATGAGTATGATAAACATCAGCTGCTCGATGAAGCTTGTGTCTGTACAGGACAATTGCAACAACAGGGAAGTGTCACAGTAAAAGTGGTTCATGACATTGGGACCACAGAATGGCAACTGCACGGTCATAATGGTGGGAGGAAACATCAAGAGAAAACTCACTGCCCAGCAGCTCAGGATCAGCTGCAGGCAAAATCTGCTGCTCATGATAGCTGTGTAATGCAAAGGGTGGCAAATGGCAACATAACGGTCCAAGGACATCACTGCCATGTGGAAAAGCGTGCAGGTACCCAAGCAGTAGAAAAACAGCATCTGAAGGAAACAACCAAGCAGGGAAATTGTCTTCCTCTCTGTCAGGAGGCTGTACAGGGTGCTGGGGAGGAATGTGGAGGTGAAAGTGATTTCCAAAAGGGCAAAATTCCTGAGGAAGTAGTACATTGGGGTCTGAAGGAAGTTATTCATAAGAGTGATGCTGATGACAGAAATGTTTCCAAGCAGGATCAAGAAATAGGCAATGGCAAGAAACAGAAAGATGGTGATCTCCAAATGGCGGCTGCTAGCCAGTCCCAGGAGGACAAATTCCACCACAGTTGTGCGGTTCATTGGGACATCACTGCTGACAGAAAAAGAAAAGACCAGTTTTGGGAACTGTTGGAAAACAATTGAACATGTGTCAGTTTGCCTTTGCTAACATTACAGGACAATACCAGCAACAAACATCTTGTAAAAGACTGAAGCAGCCACAGCAACCACATATTAAAAATCCTGATCATGTAAAAGGAGTCCCAAGCTCCATTTCTAAAACTGAGTCCTTATTCCAGTCAAAACAATTCCTACATTTCCCTCCCAGCACACTTGAGAGAGGTGCAGAAGCTGTTTCTCTGAATGATCTGACAACATCCACCCTCCAGCAAACACAGGAAAATGCCCAGAGTGAGAACTTTGCCTGTGTCCAGAGATTTACCACAGAGGAATGCAGTCACGCTACAGACTGACCCTGAAGCAGGTTAGATTGGTTCAAGGACACATTAATATGGCAAAAGAGAAACTTACTGCAGTTAGAAGGAGACAGGGAAAGAGAGGTAGAGACTCTTCAGTGAAGAGGCCAAAGACAGCAATGCTGCAAAGTTCAGGCTGTCTGGCTACCCCTGAGTGGAGGTGAAATGCAGAGCAGTGCTTGGATGCTACAGCAAGCACCAGTGTGAGAGAGGGAATGGGGAAAACTTTGGGGAAGTTGTGTTTCTTTACCCTCAGCTCTGCAGCTCCAGTGGCTCAACTCTGATGCTGATGGACATTCTGCTTCAGAGCCCCATGTGCATCATCCCTCCGTCTCACCCTGCCCCAAGCTCAGTTCTCTGTCCAGTGCACCCATCTGGGCAATGCTGAACTACACCATGCCATTATCTCCTGAAGGGAAACCTGAAAACTCTGCCTGATCCCTTCAATCACACTCTTTTCCTGCAGGCTTGCCAGGTCCCTTCTGTGGCTTTTCAACTGCATTCTCCCTCCTCTTCGTCCCAGACATCAGCCCTCCTTGCTCTAAAAAGAGACTTGTCTTGTTTTGCACTCATGTTTCCCAGGTTTTATCTATTATCTGGATATTTTAATCTGGTTTTAGATTAATTTCAGGTTAATTTCAGATATTTCTGAATGACTTAAGTAAACACCAATGCAATGAATTTCCAGGAAAAGCAAGCCCATCTTATTTAGCTGATAACCCATACCAAACAAGACACTCAAATTTCCCTCTTCAAATGCTCAACAAAAAGATAGCTATAAGCTGGGATGCACTTATTGCATTATTATTACTATTACTATTACTATTACTATTATCCTTAGTGCCCTTTTCCCAGCAAAACACAGGAGTTTATTGGCATCATCTTATGGTTGTTTCTCAAAAAACACCAATACAAAACAACTTCCCTCTCACAAACCATACGAAATATAGAACATATTTTTCAATACCACAGATAGACAGATTTTATCTGGAAGTTGACAGTGTTCCTCTAAACAAAAAAAATTCCCTCAGTAACAGCTCTTACTTTAGTTTGAAGACTAAAAGTTCAGTTTTCCAAGTCAATGCCCCTTTAAACTTTCTCTATTCTTTAAGAAACTTCACCTTAACTCTAAGGAATGCTCCAGGTAGTTACCATATCCACAACAATCCAGGATGCTACAAAAAGTATTGTGAGTCAGATTCTTTTCCACCTTAACTTAGCCTGACAATTGATTTTTGGCAATAAAATATCCTCTCCAGTTCCTTTATATAATAGTGGCAGTGTATTACAGCCTTGTGTTTCCTCACTGTGTCAAAGCTCAGGGACCAATTAGGTATCAAAATCTGAATAAACACCTTGTGGGAAAACACCTGTGAAAGAACAGCAAGAACATAATGAAAGCACAGAGAAAATGAGACTGGGAAGGACCTCTGGAGGTCCAATCCTTGCTAAAAGCAAAGCTGGATAAGGTTGCTCATGACCTTCTCTCAGTTAAGTGTGGATATCTCCAAACACAGGAATGTATCAGCTTTCCTGTGGTGCCACAAATTCCCTCGTGTTTTCATTGTGAATATTTATTTCCTTTTGTGCAGCAAAGATTTGCTTTAAGCCATGACCAACACCTCTTGTTCTGAGAGGTCTGGCTCTAACCTGTCTCTAACTCCCCCTTGGTGGATGGTTCAGGCAGATCCCTCCTCTTGACTTTGTCTTCTCTCTGCTTCTCCTCAGGTGTGATTTGTTCTCTGATAAACTCCCTTGCCCTCCACTGGACTCACACCATTCTAATACCACCTTTGGGGGTTTTTTTGTACTGTGCACTTGTCCCAGTCTCAAAAGTGCCAACAAGAAGGATTTAATGCCTGGCCAGAGCAGCCTGTGGATGCAGCGTGGTGTGCAGTGACCCTTCAGTGTCCCAGAGGCGCTGCTGCTGTGCTCAGCCGTCCTCCAGCAGCCACAGGGCTGTCCAGAGCTGCTCCACAGCCTGCAGCTGGGGTTAGCAGTGCAGGACAAGGGAGGGAGCACAGCCCACTCCAGCTGGTCCCCAGCTGCTCAGGTTCCTGCCAGAAGCTGAGCTCAGACACCAATGTCAGACAGGAATCACACCATCAGTAAAAGGATCAAGTCCAACCAAGATCATCGAGTCCAACCTTCAACCCAACACCACCAGACCCTCTAAAGCACACCACAGAGTGCCACACCCTGTCAGTTTTTGAGCTTTCCAGGGATGGTGACCAGAGTATAAACCACCCTTCAGTACTATCATTGTTCTCTCTTCACTATCAGAAATCAAGTGACTAATGTGGATTCCTAAAGCAGAGACCTAAAGTGAGGAGGAAACACACCCTTGTAAGAACTTTTAAACTAAGCTCATTTCTAAGTCAGTGAGAAGGAGTACCCCAGATCCTTGCTTAAATTGGGACTCACTCATCCCAATCAGCTCATTTGTAGCTGTGGTGAGGAGGAAAGGACACTTACTAAAGAAAATCTCAGTTCTGCAGGATCAAAACACCACATTTGACACTTAATACTTTCCCTCTTCCTGAGGGAAGCAATTCAGAGGTTGGGCTTAATTCCTGCACTTCACACCAAGAACAACTAAACAAAATTACCAGTAACCATTTAGAATAGGAGGAAACATAAGGACTCCAAGTATCCCAAACTTGGGATACAAAGCCCATCTCTTTGTTTGTAACATGTTTTCCTCTAGTTTGCTGATGTTTCCAGAGCTAGAAATAAACCAGTAGCATATGATGTTTGGAAATAAGGAAGTTCTGATGTAGGAGTGGGAGCTCCATGATGGTTTGGGATATGTGTTTCCAGCAGGTTTACATGTCATTCTGCCAGTTGTTAATCCATGGTCTGTACCAGGGCTCATCATACTCAGCTCATTTATCATCCTGTGTGCCATGGCTCATTTGAGGATGGGGTGTGCTACTCTATCCTACCCCTTTGCCTTACCATCATCTAGGAAATGCATGCAATATATAGATGCAGTTGTATTTTAACTTGCATCATATACCATTAGTGGGCTTAAGCTTTTCAGAGGTGTATGCACTCACAGCAGCTCAGGCAGGACTGCTGCTTGTCAAAGTTAGAGCCACCTTGGAGAAGTTCACAGAGAACTGTCCCCCATGGAAGAGCCCCACGACATAACTGAAGAAACTCCTCTCCCTAAGCAAACTGAAAAAAGATTTCTAGAAGTGACAAACTGACAAAATCCCCATGTTTCTTTTTTTTCTCCCTCCTCAACTATAGCAAAAGAAAAGGAGTGAGGAGTTTTTCATAGGTACCTGGCATTTAGCCAGTGTCAAACCACAACAATCAAGGCACAAAAAGAGTGAAAAAATGAGTATGGTTTTTGTGAAAAAACGAGCTAATCAGTGGTGATCAGGTGCTAAAAACCGTAACTCTTTATTCATACACATAAAGACTTCTGTGGGATAAGAGCTGAGGAGTTTCAATACCTAACTCAGACTTTATAGTAATCTGTCATTTCTCGCAGCTGTCTCCTGCCGGTATCTCACTGAGAGTGAGATGTCACATCACAGATCCCCAGCAGCCACCAGGATAAGGAATACTGGGAATATAAATTCTGGAAGGGCTGGGCTCTTGTGACCACTGCTCTCACCTCAGGTTTTGGACAGGCTGGCACCAACACACAACCTTCCCAGCCCATGTTCTTTGTGCCCACAGGGTCCAGTGTTCCCCCCATATCTCTTACTGGGGATTCATAGTCAAGTGTTCACAAGTTGTCAATCCAGTCAGTGCCCAGAGATATCATGGCACAGCTTTCCAGCAGTTTTAGGTACTGTTCTTCTGTCACCTGCTCACTGGTGGCCTCTGTGAAGGCTCATCTCACCCAGTTATTTATTTTCATTGTCCTGCTGACCATGTCCTGTTACATTCGGCTGTTCAACTTGGGACTGAGGCAAGGGGGTGATACCTCTGTGACAGCTACAGCCACAGTGAGGTGACTGCCACCCCACAGCAGACTTCTAAAAGAAGACAGTCCACCACCACAGCCTAGTGTCTGTTGTTGTTGCCTGCAAAAGGACACTTTTGGGATTTCTGCATATTCCCTCATGCTCCCAGCCTGGAGGACAAGAAAAGTGACAGTGGCAAAAAGACACTAAATGGAATATATCAGTATTAGCAGGAAAATAGAGAGGTCCAAGACCAGTGTAACTCTGAGAGAAAATACACTTAAGAAAGGAAAATAGAATGACTCTACAGCTGTTCCTACCTTAGAGCAGAGAGCTGTAAGCAGATGGGAACAAATTTACATTTGACTGCAAGCTGTGGTGCTTTCATGTACTGCCTCTAAAATCCAAATTTCCCCCAGAGTTTAGCACAACACTGAACAGTATCTCTACAAGATCTGCAGCTTGCACTTTTCTTGGTGTCTCAGAATAACCAGGATGGAATTAGAATCAGGTCAGGACAAAGCAGGTAATTGCTATTGTAGGGGAGAGCAGAGAGTAGCAGAGACATTCTCTGTGCTGGGAATTTGGCCCAAAAGAGGCAATTTCTCCTGGTATGACCTGGCACATCAAATTTTTCTTCTCCTGTACCCTGGGCCCATTGCAAGGTTTTCTCTGGGAGAGAATTGAACTGACCCTCAAAGTGCTACCAGGGAGAAAGACTCACTAACCAAGGTGGGTTAATGACTGATTGAAGAGGAATAATTGCCCAGGGCAAACCAAATGGGGATTGTCCCCTTCTAATGTTTGTCCTTGGTTCAGGATGCACAGAAGGAGAGATTGGCAGATCAAGCCCTTCAGCATCTGTACAATTTTCCATTTTTCTATTTCCCACAGCCCATGGGGCAGGGGGGTTGGACCCTATGGAAAAGGAGATCCCTACATGAGTAAACCCCCCACAACTGGCCACACTGTGGAAAGTGTGCACGTCTGCAATTAATGCACATGCAATTATTGCACCCACAATGACAATCCCCTATGGAAACTGACACAAATCCACAGAGATTTCCTCTCTCAGTCCTGAGGCCTGCCTGATGCACTACAAGTCCACGTTAAACAATTAGAAAAGCACATTATGGCAATCCCTAGGCCTGGAGAAGGGATGCACCTCCAGGAATAACTGGGTTGGAGGTAGCTCAGTAATTAGTAACTACTGGTCAGCAATTGGGTATCTCTGGTACAGGTGGTCCTAAACCAAAAACAGACATCAAGAGGGTGGACAGGTCCTAAAACCTCCCTCACTGGGTAATTGCTGACAAAATGTGTCACCTTGTGGGAGAACAAGGTACAGTTTGTGGGTGGAGGGTGTTGCAAAAGGAAGTCCTCAAGAAATAATGGACAAATTACCCACCACTAATCTGGAAGGCTTGATAAGGAACTGGGATAAGATCAAAGCACGTCCTGAGGGCGGCTCCCTCAGGAGTCCAACACTGTCATCCCCCAGCCAGTCTAGAAATCAAACTAACCAGTTAAACCTGCTCTGAGTTGGGAAATTGGACTCTACTGCTCTCAGCAAGTGAACTGGGGAGTGGCAGGTGGATTTACGTGTGAAGGCTAACAGAAAAGAGCTAGAGAAATGTGATAATCCCATTCATTTCCCACCCCCTTAAATCCTTGGCTACTTTTATGGTAGATACCAGGGTACAAATGTCAGCACTTCAAACTGAACTTGGCACTCATTGTGACATTAGGTCAGACAACAAAAAATAGATAACTGATGCCTTTTGGTAAATCTCAATCCCAGTGCTCAGCCTGGGTAAAATCCTGGTTACTGGGGGATGAGACAGCCAGAGAAGTTGTCATGATTGTGAGGCCTCTACCAGCAAACCTTGGGGCTGGATCTGTTAAAGTGATGTGTCTGAACAGATGCCAGAGGCAGGGGATGGGTGTTTGTTCTCCCACCTCCCTCTCTGCATCTGTTGCAAACTGCTCCAAGTCTGCCTCCTTTAAAAAGAACAGAAGTGAAACCCTACCCACGGCCCTTGGGAATTCGTGGAGGAATTGCTGCAGTAACTGCAGGATTGCAGGAGCAAGGGGCAGCTGTACAATTCTCCTGTGTATAAACCCAACAGGGAGCAGTGCCGGACAGTGCATCACCAATGCCTCAGAGCTGGCACTGGCCCTGGAACAGCTCCTGTACCTCACACAGCCAAACTGATTCCCACAATCCAGCATCGGGCCCATCAGATCCGTCTGACTACTGGTACCAAAGACAAGTTTTTATGGTTCCCCTGCAATGCCACTGAAACTCCAGAAAAAGCCAAAACCCTCCAACAATGTATTTAGTGTTAGTGAATTAAAGCATTACTTTATTCTGGCCAGGATGTTGTTCTAGCCAGGATGTGCAACAGAAATAATTTCATCCACACATTGCCCAGAATCCTTGTGAAGAGAAAATCCTTCCATCACACATCACTCCTTACAAGATTTTTCAGATACTATACAGTCAAAACCCATGGAAATTCATTGGTTCAGTGTTCAATGGTTTCAAGGTATGAAGCTATTGATTTCCTATTGCTTACGGATCTCTTGGCCTCCAGTGTTAATTAGGTCCTCATCCCTTGGTTCTCTCATCTTTTTCTCATAGCAGGTATCTCTGACAATGCCAGGTGATGTTTGGAGTTGATGTTTGTTTATGGTCATTATATTTTGTGTATTTTCTGTGCTACTCCCACTCTGCTGAGATGTTAATTCCATCAGGCCTTGGGCGCTGAAACAGTCCTTTGAACCATCTTTATGGCTGTACAGTCATATTCCTATAAATGACAACCAGAATGGCTACATACCTGATTTTGTGTGTTCTACAATAAACTCTGCATGTGTGTATATTTACAAACACCTTTCATTCAGAGTCATCTCGCTCTAATCCACCCTGAAGGCTCTACTATGACCTGTTGCAGAAGGTGAAGGTTAAATCCCTCATAAAATCTAAACCAATCGCTGTCTCTATGATAGGAAAATGCCCTTCCTTCATTGCAGAGCCCGTGTGGGAGCATGCACTGCCGACAGTGACAGTGTTCCTCATTTTGGAGAGATAGGAAGGCTGGAATGATTTAAACAGAATGAACCTGTAGAGGAAAGTTCTGCTTTGCTTTATTGAAAAGTCGTTCCCCCCTTCAGAAACCGAAAAGCAGCAGAGTTGTTTTGCTCTCGCTTCAGGCTCAGTACCATGACAGATTTTAAAGAAAAAAAAAATTTAAAAAATAACAAAATAAAAAAAAAATAAAAATAAAAATTGGAAAGCAGTGTTTTTCCTTTCCCCTGCTCCAAGCAGGGCGATAAAAGTCTGTTTTCCACCACCCTCGTGCCGGATCTCGGACCGACCCTCGGCCAGGAACCCCCAGACAGTCCCTCAGCAGAGCTGCCTCAAGCAAGGCCCGGCCCCCCGCAGCAATGCTGGGCTCTGATTGGCTCTTAAAAGGAGCGGCTCTCTAATCTGCCCAGCAACAGCCGGTTCTGCACTCTTATTGGCTCCTGGAAAACACTGGGGGTGCGGACGCCGCGAAAGCCCTTGGCGCATGTGCAGACCCAAGGCACGGTTTCCCCTATCCCTTAGCGCCACGTAGCTGCGNCGGCGGCACCGCCGGGCGCCTCAAGGCGCTGGACGCCTTCCTGCTCTACGTGCTGCTCACCGGCGCGCTGCAGTTCGGCTACTGCCTCGGCGTCGGCACCTTCCCCTTCAACTCCTTCCTCAGCGGCTTCATCTCCGCCGTCGGCAGCTTCATCCTGGGCGGTCAGTGCCGGCCCGCGGTCCCCCTCACAGCCCTGGCGGTCACACTGAGCCCTCGCCCGGCGGCCGCGGCCGTGCCGGGGATCCTCAGAAATCAGCGGGTGGCCCGGTGCAGCGCTCAGAGCCGCCCTGGCAGCCGGGGAGCCCCGGGACCCTCAGCACCCCCCGCCCTTTCCCGAGCTCCCCGTTCCGCTCCCGGCGGGGCAGGAGCCCCTGGGCAGCTCGGCACCTGCGGGGCTCGGATCCTTGTCCCCACAGCTATCCTTGCAGCCGGGGGCTCGGTGGAACCGAGAGTCCAGCAGTGACACATGCACGGTGCTACTCCCCCGAATAGCCCAAAGCCGCCCTGTTTCTCTGCAACCCTCCTCAGCACAGGGGAGACAGCCTGGCAGAGCGGGGGGTGTTCGGGAAAAGGTTGCACTGAGACCTGAAAGCCCCTTCCAGGGGCTCCAAGACAGCTGGAGAGGGACTTTGGACAAGGGCCTGGAGTGACAGGACAAGGGGGAATGGCTTCCCACTGCCGGAGGATAGGGTTAGGTGGGATATTGGGAAGGAATTCCTCCTCCCTGTGAGGGTGGGGAGGCCCTGGCACATGTTGCCCAGAGCAGCTGTGACTGCCCCAGTTCCTTCAAGTGTCCAGGACCAGGTTAGGTGGGGCTTGGAGCAACCTGGGATGGTGGAAAGTGTCCCTGGGATTGCAATGAGAAGATCTCTAAGGTCTTTTCCAACCCAAACCATTCTGTGTTTCTGACACACCCAACAGGGCACATAGGAATGTCCATACTTCTGTGTGAGTCCAGTCCTGCTCTGAGCCTGTTCCCCACAGGACTCTGGGCACCCTGTGGTGTGTGTGGTGCTGTGGGAGCACTGACTCCATGACAGCCCCATCCAAATTCCCCGACAGTGTTCTGCTCATCTGTAGTAACAATGGAATAACTTTTCCCCAGTGGCTTCCCATCCTGGGCTGGGCTGCCCCAGGAAGGCTGTGCTTCCCACTGATGGCTCATTCTTTCTCTGCAGTTTGTCTCCGGATCCAGATCAACCCCCAGAACAAGGGCGAGTTCCAGGGCATTTCACCGGAGCGGGCGTTCGCTGATTTCCTCTTTGCCAACACCATTCTCCATCTCGTCGTCATCAATTTTGTTGGCTGAGCTCTTGGAGAGACTGCCAGGTACTGATCTGTGGGGTCACAAAAGAGGCAACCACAGGACTGCAGTGCTTTTGGGGAGAACTAGAATGAGAGGGAATCCCCTGAGCTCCCAAATTCCTCTGGGCCAAGCACAGCTGAGCTGTTGTCCTCTGGGTTGGCACAGAGTGAGGATTTATGGCTTTCTGATTTTGAGCATTCCTTTTTCGGCTTTTATAATTAAAGAGTTTAACTGAGACTGTTACTGAAACCTACCCACACTCTTCTCTCAGGAGAGAGATCCCCCATTCTTCTTTGAAGCTTTCCCCCCATTCTTCAGGAGAAGCTTTGGGAGCTTGAAATCCTGGGCTCTGAGGCCATGGTATGGCTGGGGTTCAAGTCTGCAGTTTCTTTGCAGATGAGACAGCTGGGGACAGGGACAGTTGGGTGTTGAGGAGTGGGGACGTGCCCATGACTGTTGTAAGGGGCCACAGGATCTCTGGGGCTTGGGGGAGCTTTGTCCTGTCTGCTCTACAGAAACATTGCTGCTCTCTTTCCAGGTCTTGAACTGCTCCTGATGGCAAAGCCTGGCACAGGGAAGTGCCCAGCACACTCTCACCTTCTTCCTTGGTGGAGGAAGGGGACCCAGGGCTCAAGATCTCCCCCCGCAGAGTGTTCTGTGGAGGGGTTTGCAGTCTCATTGTGTAACTGTGATCATCAATAAAACACTTTATGACACTGCAGCCTTTTTTGGTGACAAATACAGAGCTTCTCCTGCATCCAGGTTCCCTCTCAGGCATGACTCCCTGGTTTTACCTCTCTCCCTTCCTTTCTACTCAGCAGGCTTTTTTTCTGCACCCCAGTTTTGGAGGGAAGCAGGAAACAAGTGATCATGGAAACTCAGTTGTCATCCAGCCTTCTCATCTCCCTATTGCCTTCTTTTTGATCTTCCAGAGTTTGTTGCCAATGCGCCCCTGGGCTTCAAAGCTGTGGAAAATTCAGATGAGGCTGTGGTTAATGGTCACAAAAGGAAGGAAGTGCCCTCCAGCAGATCCCCAGGTGTAGACAGTTCCCACAGACCCTCCCACACCCCTCAGAGACACTTGGGCCCCATCTGGATGTCCCAGCTGGATTTAGAAGCTCACTGATGCTTCTGGGTGATACAGCCACCCCTCCACAGTGTCAGGGTGCCTGCACTGAGATGTGCTGATAACCACAGGGATGTTGGGATGGACTGCCCAAATGGCAGGGCCTCAGGGTGGCACTGGAGCTGCTCTGGGCCCAGGGAGAAGCTCAGAATCACACAATCAAGGTTGGAAGAGACCTTCAAGGTGGTGCAGCCCAACTACCCACCCAGCACTGCCACTGTAATTCAACCTCATCACCCACACCAGATCCTGAGGCCTCCTGAGCACCCCAGGTTTGTTGGTTCCAGCACCTCCCTTCCAAGGCCTGACCACCCTGATCTAACCTGAATCTCCTGTCTCAGCTCAAGGCCATTCCCCCGGTCTGCTCTCTGCAGTCACAGCACCAGAGACCAGCCCCACCTCACTCCAACCTTTCAGAGGTGTGGTGTGACCCCCTCTGAGCCAGCTCTTCTCTACCCTGAACAACCCCAGCTCTCCCTCAGCCATTCCTCAGAAGAGAAATATTTTCTAGTCCTTTCATGAGCCTTGTTGCTCTTCACTGGGCACACTCCAGCCCCTCAAAGTTCTTTTTAAAGTGAGGGGTCCAGAACTGAGTGCAGCGCTCGAGCTGCAGCCTCACCAAGGCTGAGTACAGGGGGTGATCCCTTGTGGCTGCACTATTTACACAAGCCAGGCTGCTATTGGCCTTTTTGGCCACTTGGGCACACTGTTGGCTCACACTGAGCCGGCTGGCAACCAGCGCTGCCAAGTCCCTTTCTGCTGAACGGCTCTTGAGCCACTCCTGCCCCAGCCTGGAGCTGCAGGGGATTGCTGTGACCCCACTGCAGGAGCAGCACTTGGCTTTGAACCTCATGTCATTGTGCTGATCGAGTGTGTTCAGGTCTCACTAGAACCTTCATGTAAGAGGTTCGGTCCTCACACTGATCCTGCTTCGTGCTCGTCTGGATTTCTCTGCAGCTGAAACGCTGGGGAAGTAAAACCTTGAAAGCCTTGAGACTCCATGGCATGGAAATGTTTGTGTGCTGCACTGAGGAGATGGAACCAGATGGTCTCTGATGCTTTCAGAACCTCTCAGAATTCTATTTGGCTCCTGTCTGCCACCTTTTTAGCATTTCCAGCTGTGCTGCAACCATTGTAGCTGTAACAGTCTGAAACCTGGGGCTCTCTTGCCTAACACTGGCTGTGAGGGGTCAGGGTTTTCACTGTCCTAGACAATGGAGTCTGGGTCTGTGTCAGGAACAGAGAACTTGTGCAGCTTGTACACCACCACTCCTGGACTCGTGTGCAATGGCAGCAGCCCTGGGAGAGCAGGCAGGGGCTCAGGGCAGCGCTGGTGTAGTGGGTTGACTCTGGCTGGGTGTCAGGTGCCCACTCAGTCACTCCATCACTCCCACTGGGACAGGGGAGAGAATAAGATGGAGAATGACCAGCAGGGTGAGATAAGGCAGCTTTATTACAGAAAAAGAAAGAAATCAGTAGAGATCTGCACATGCATGGGCTAAAGAGAAAAAATAAAATTCAGTCTGTGCTTCCCATCAGCAGTGATGTTTGGACATTTCCTGGGAAGCAGGGCTTTGGCACGTGTGATGGTTCCTTCAGAAGGCAAACAGGAAAATTCAGGAGTACCCTCCCTTCCTCATCTCTCCCTTAGCCTATGTATCTGACCTGACATCATATGGTATGGGGAATAAAACAGAGCACAATGAACTGATAAAGGAGCTTGGAATCTTAAACCTAATCAAACAGAAACCATGGGAGAGACAGACACAGATAACTCCTCCCTGGGGCAGAAGTGACCAAGGCATATGTTGTGAAAGTTTGTGATGATTAATTGATGTCATGAAAAATGTATAACCAATGGGAAATTGTTACCAAAAATAGAACCTTATGTAAGTGCCATACAAGTAAAACCCTATATAAACACCTTGTATGCTCTATGAAATTGGCTTCAGATCTTGTCTTGGATGTCCCTGTCTCTCAGTTGCCCATGATGTGGTATGGAATATCTTGGCTAATTCGGGCCAGCTGGCCTGGTTGTGTCCCCTCCCAGGAGCTCCCCCACTCCCGTCCCCTTTGGTGGGGGAAGGAGTGTCAGAGGGACACCATCTGTTATCAGCACCCATCCAGCTGGCAATGCAAAGCACAGCTCTGCAAGGCCTGGGAGCGTCACTTGGGCAGAAGCAATATGATGGTAAATGACCCACACAGCTCTGCTTTCTCACCAGAAGGGCCCTGAGCTGTGCCAGGGCAGCAGGAGCAGCAGATGTTGGGGATGATGCTAAGCTCAGTCATGGAGCCTCCCCCAGCCACTGCCTGGGGCACAGGGGCTGAGTGAGAGGAGATGTGAGGCTTTGCTGTGGAGGTTTTGGGGTTTCCCCCCCCTTTTTCCTGCTTCTTTCCTGCTTACAATTCCTCCAGTTGCCATTAATTGGACAGTAGAATTCTTGAGGGGAAGTAGAATTGCAAAGGGACTTTTCACAAAGTAGTGATATGGCAAGGTGGAATGGTTTCAGACTGCCAGAGGGCAGGGTTAGATGGGATATTGGGCAGGAATTGTTCCCTGTGAGGGTGGGAGGCCCTGGCACGGGGAGCCCAGAGAAGCTGGGGCTGCCCCTGGATCCCTGGCAGTGTCCAAGGCCAGGCTGGACAGGGCTTGGAGCAGCCTGGGACAGTGGAAGGTGTCCCTGGTGTGGCAGGGGTGGGGCTGGATGGGCTTTAAGGTCCCTTCCAACCCAAACCATTCTGGGATTCTGTGACCCTATGATGAATCCAAGTCCCACCACAGCTCCTTCTGCATTGGAATAAGCTTCAACAAATCCACTGACACCTTCAGATTCTAGTCCTTGGAAAGTCCACACTTGGGTCTCTGGTCACACAAGCAGGAGGAGGAAAATTAGAGAGGATGGTTTGTGCACAGGGCCGTGTTTGATGAGAGGTGACAAATATTGGGCAGGATATTTTCTCCAACAAAACCCTGAAAAAACAAACAAATTAATCTTCATTCAGGAGGTGGCACAGGGGAGAGGATGCCAAATGTGGACCATGGAAACCTTCCCTGACAGTATGAGAGGACTCTGGCCTGCCCCTTCGTCCTTCCTTCTCATCTGGGTCAGGAGAAGTGGAAGGATTTTCCAATCTCTAAACAGGGTGCAGAGACCTATCAGCAAATTCAGAACTCGGACACAATTCTGAGAGCTTTGTAATCTAATCCCACCATGCTTTATCAAGCATTTCTCCCCTCCTTTCCCTGCCCACTCTATACATAGCTCAATCCCTGCTGCTGCACCCAAAGCAGCTCCCCAAGTGCAGGCTGTGGTGAGGCTGGGAGGGGAGGATGTCTTAACCTCATTCCACTTTGGCTCGTGGTCTAACGTCTGCTGTTCTTTTCCACAGCTTCTCCCCTCCCTGCCACGTGCTGCCCCCACCCCCTTTGTGCTGCACTTTCCAGAGGAAGTGGTTTTTGTGGTCAGGTATAGACGAGCATCGGTGGTGACCCAGATCTCGATTGTGGCGTCATGGAACTTGTGCTGTGGCCTCTTCCTGCCCCAGCTGGGCCACGAGCCCACCTCCTGTCCTGCTGTGTTATTTCCTGGCTTTGCTTTGCTCTGTGGTTTTCGTATCTCGAAATAAACAAGAAAATGCAGTGGGGGGGGGCACGTTGTGGTGGTGGGAGATTGGCAGCCTGATATCTGAAAGTGTCTTTGAAGTAGATTGCAAATTCTTGCTTTGCAGGTCACATGCCAGGAGCCATTTTAGTCAAAGCATTTAACTCATCTCCCAGTTGGCAAATCCTGTCCCTGGGGTTGGTTTAACCTGGAAGAGGAAAGACTCAGATGTGGAAACAGAGACAGCACAGTCCTTAACTCTTTCATCTGGGAGTGAGTTTGAATTGCAACATAAAAAATTTATGATGATTATTAATTCTAAAAAGTGATGCTAAAGCTAAATGAGTATGGAAAGTTTTCTTCCACATCCCTGAAAGTTCTGGAATGAGGTTAATTGGTTGCTAATATCTGAAATGCAATTACTTCTGACTTGCTTTATAGTTCATATATGGCTTAGGCAGCTTCTTCAGGCTTCCCAGTGACATGGCAGATTTCATCATGAGTGGAATGTAGTCTCCAAGAGCTGCCTGGAATCCAGCACTTAAAGAACCATGGACTTCCTACAGCTGGAGAGATCTGAAAATGATGGTTGTGTCAAGGGAGAAATGAGAACAAGTCCCTGAACATCTGTACTGTAAAACAGTCAGGGTAGACATGGAAGGTTGAAAGCTGCTCCTTTTCAGGAGGGGTCAGTAACTCTGTGACCTGTGTCAGTGCTCAGTGCTCAGGTGCAGGACCAAGGCAGGACACCAGTGAGGATTTGTTGTGTTGCTGCTCAGCAGTGTGGGGTCAGATCCCAGCAGGGTCCTCCCGCAGGAAGCACCAGGGCTTTTGGCTAAAAGTGTTTGAATTGTGACCCTTTCCAAAACCAGCTCCTTGTGCAGGCTGTGAGCCCAGCTGGGTGAGGGACAGCCACCCTCACTGGTCCAGAGCAGCTTTTCCTGCCACTTTGGGAGCTGGTGGGAGTTACAGACAAGGTTCAGGCTTTGC